TTTATCTAGAATGTTTCACAGTATGGCAGTAAGGTTATCTATTTACATGGAGACAGGCAGGTAGCACCAGCAAGCCAAAATACAGTAAAATACATGAAGAGGCAACCCAGTGCACGGTAGGAATGCAAGTTTTTCAAGGTGTGTGTTAAGTAATAAAAATGCCTAATGTCATACTGTGAAACATACCAAAGCTAAAAATTTCCTTTGAAAAAAGCAGGTGTCGGATTGTTCATCAGGAAAGTTACACAGTCCACCTTTAATTATACACTCCGTCACTCACCTCTGGCTGTAAAATAGTTAGTTTTCTTTTACAGGTAGCATTAGGAGGAATACTGGCCATTCAAATATCAATGGGCAATATTTTTGGTTTTCAAATTTAAAAAATGAAGTATCTCAATAATTACTGCTGGTGTTATCCTGTTTACAGCACAAACAAAGCAGCTTTGTAATCCAGTCAACAAATGATCTGACTACATTTTTCTAATTCCTTATCTAGCTGACAAGAATAACAAAAACACTACGCCTACTTCACTACACCGAGGCAGGCTAAATATAGTCAGCATGATTGGCATTAGGATCAAGTTATTAATTATTTGTGAACACGCTACCAACTTCATAACCTCTCTCAAGTTGTTTTAAGTTCTGTTTGCAAATTTCACTGCACTTAACATGTACTGGATGAAATAGGCTACTTGTTGATATTGAGTGTTTGCACAGATGTTTTAGTCCACATTGGTGTTGTTTTAAGCGTGCTGTTACAAGAGCTCTGTGTGAATAATCAGGAAAAGCCACAATAACTTAATAATTATCCATCATTGGGCTTGTAAGAACTTATACTTAATCGGATTTCAGACAAAACATGTGATGAAGGCACTGACTCACATAAAGACATAGCATCCACCTGTGCAGACATATCAACCACAAGAGTTTCCAGGATAGGGTGTTTGTAAAATTAACATACCTTTGTAGTGAGTATCCTCCCTGTAGATGAGTGACTACTAGACATGCTTTAATCTAAGATATTTGGGAAAGGAAGGATGGTCTGAGCCTTGTCTGAGTGGAGCTGGGTTGCATCACTTGAGCTGGAAGAAAACTTATGTAAAAACAGTAATTGAAATGTCTAAACATGAAGAGTGTTTTCATAAATCAATAAAGCGGAAATGTACCTAGAGAAGGATGGATAGGGAGGGCAGGCAGATTTGGCAGTTACAAGGAAACCCACAATCTTCTTGCTGAAAAAACACAGACAGTATCAGATCATTATCTATCTAAGATCACATAACTAGGCTAAACCATGCGGTAGGTAGAGACGTGTCAGGTACAAATATAACCTAGAGATGAAGACAGTTTTGCACGCTGCTATTGGGTCCTTAGTAGGGATGTAACAATAACGAAATACCGTGATATGGTATCATCAAAGTTCTCACAATAATATCGTTGACCATCACAATTTATCGAATTACAAGTTTCTTTGCGTAAATTAATTTAAGTTATGGTGCAGCAACATCTAAAAAAAGACAAAGGGAACTACATAGACCATGATCCTTTGCTCCATTTCAGTGTAAACTACAAGATGAAATGACAGTTCTGAGCACTTTTAAGTCTTAGTTCTTTGGATTACGTCTTGTCAAGACATTTTAGCATATTAACAGTTTTGTAAGCCTCCACAAAATATCGCAATAAATATCGTAAGGTGAGAATGTGAAAATATCGTACTGAGAGATTTGGAAATTGTTACATCCCTAATCATGATCTTTCCCACCATATTGTGAGCTTTCCCATGATATCACAATAATGTCATACTGTGAGGTTCATACCGTGACGATATCATATCGTGAGACTTGGAAATCGTTACACCCCTAGTCCTTGGGCAACACGCAGTATGGAATAGTTTTAGTTTCTTGTTAGCTTTCAGAAGCAGGAAATGCTGAATGACTGTATATAGAATTTCTCAGCAGAGTTGGAGACTTGCAAGTCGTAACTTAGACTCGAGTCAGACTTGAATCCCTGTTTTTTGGCCTTGAGACTTGACTTGACTAAGACTTGGAACTCGACTTGGACTTGAAGGGCAATGACTTGGGACTTGACTGGGACTTGAGCCTTGAGAAGACTTGATGCTTAGACCAGCTGACAAAATAACTGTTATTAAGCACTTTTAAGTCTTAACTGTTTGTGTTCTGACCATAATAATTCACACTCCTGTCAAGACATTTAAAAAGGAAAAAATTATATTTCTACCACCTTATGTAAATAATCATATATAAATATACTCAGATTTTTAAAAGTACAGTTTAGTTAAAAATTCATATAAATTGCAAAAACCTACGCTATATTTGGTACTTTGGTTTAAAGACTTGAAATGACTTGAAGCCCAAAGCAGACGACTTGGACTTGACTTGGACTTAAGGGCCAGAGACTCGAGACTCGACTTGGACTTGCCTGTATTTGACTTGGGACTTGAGGTCAAAGACTTGAGATTTACTTGAGACCTGCAAAACAACGACTTGGTTCCACCTCTGCCTCTCAGCCTGTGGAAAGAACAAACAAAGTAAAGCAGAGTTAATTTGTTTTAAATTTCAAAACACGGCCTTGGTTTTATTATTCATATCAATAATTACAACTAATGATGGAATGAAAGTTTGATGAATATGTCTCTTTTACTAATGAAAAATCTCTGGTTAACTGGACATACCATTGTAATGACCAATGAGTGTTTTCCCTAAATAGCGAGGGCATACTTTATTCCTATGAAGAGGACTGTCTCTGAGCAGGGATGGATGGAGTGGGCCGGTGAGCGTAGGGTCGCTCCGTGGTTGTCCAAATACACATCTCATTGTGGGTGGGATAGGATTTTCCATGACTTTTCCTGGTGAATGGAGCGTGCTTTGCCAAACATCATTCCCATCCTCCCCCGTTCGAAAGTTTTGGAGCCACATCACATGGGAGTTGGATACTTCTTTCCTTTTTGATGATGCCACCCCCACGCTCGGCCGTGACACCACCAGCACCTTTGGGTCTCCCCCCTGTGATGTTCGTCGTCATGGTGATTCTTTCCTGGTGATGTCATCTGTACCGCCACCACTGGGAGTAGTTTAGTGTTTTTTGGGAAAATCACTGATTTACTGAAAACAGAAGCACTTATAAGAAGCAGTTGCTCACTCACATTTTATGATCACATCTGGAAGTTGAGCCTCAAATGTAAACTTTAAAGTGCTTATTATGCAGTCCATCACTGTTAAATTGTAATGGAGGAACACTGGTTTTATCCTACTATACACAAATCTGTCATCCCCACTGTCGATCCAACTCATCTGCTCAATGTGCTCAATATTGGAACTTAAACACACTAGATCTGGCCTTGTGTAACAGTCATTCCAACAACAATTGTGCATGTTTGCCTTATAGCTTTCACGCTAGATGAGAGTCATAAATTATCACCATTTTGTTTATCTCATCTGCATTTCAGTTGCAGGGCTGTTGGAAATGATAAGAATGATGGATGGTATTAGCGAGTAAAATTGCAATGGATTAGTTGAGCAGTTGCGGCATTTTCAGAGCAAGGACGCACACCATGGACAGTTTAAATGATATATATATTCTTAATACAGTTTATAAGGCACTCGTGTAGTCTAAACTCTTTTCTAAACTTTTTTTTTTTTTTTAAACCACATGCCCCGTAACTTCTCTTAGTTGTGTAACCTTTGCTAAAGACGAATACTTTGATCATCTACGACAGCCATAAACTCAGTTTGACATTCACAATGACAATATAATGTTTTACCCTTAAAGGCCTGTCTATTAATCATAGCATTTCCATTATTGGAGTTAAAACCATAAAAATACTATTAAAAAGAGTAAGATATAAGCCCATCAGACTTTACCTGTTAATCCGTTTGGAAAAGCACGTGTAGAAGGAAAGCCAACACTGCCCTCTGGTGGTGAAAACAATCTTACAGAGATCAGAACATATAATGAAAGCAAGTCTAGGCTATATAAGATAATTAAAAAAAATACAATCAAATAATACAGCATTTTCTGGGTCTATTTATGATATAATTGTAACTTGCTTTAAACATGTTTAATAGATCATTACTGAGCAAGATGATGAGTAAAGGTAATTGTACACATGATGTAGCTCCATTTTGTTTAACTCTATCATCTGGAACTCTATTTTTTATTAATAACTTCATATAGTGACATATTAATTTATGACTTTTCTTCTTTAGAGTAGACTTGTTGTAAGATGTGTGATTTTTTTCCCCCTCAATATTGGCAGTATACTTTGCACCAGGAATGTTGTTGAATGAACTGTAAAGTGCACAGAAATAGCTACTGTTGATCTTCACTGTTTTTATTAAGATTAATAGCACAGAATTCCCTTTTAAATTGAGCAGGTACTCAAAGGCTTAGCGTGTAAGCAAAGCATAACGTACTGTATTTACTGTATGTAGATAATCATGATCATATGAGTACAGTGTGGTTTATGTTTATCTTGGACATCATCATAGACCAGCAGGCACTGGTTTCTGCAGGCTAACTCTTACAATAATAACCATCTTTCATGATCCAACATAGCTGTCTAACCCAATTATTGCACATTGATAGTTTACATGTGTGTTCAGCTTCTGCTCTCCCTCTCTGTTCATTCTTCGCTCTGAGGTTTTTAAGCCAGAGTCCATCATCACAAGTGAAATTATATAATGTATTGTAGTGCCACATTAACAGTGTTTTGAGGGACTGGTCTTTGTCAATAGTGAAAATACAGGCTGTCGAATATCCCCTTTAGCCAAGAAAGTACAGTAGAAGTTCTAATAAATCTTATTCCAGCCCTTTTGTGGCTAGGCAGCTTTGCACGTCTGCTTTTTCTGCCAGGTTGATAACAGAATACATATGTGAAGGGGTCCCCTTTTAGTCATTGTTGCAGTTAATACACGAGGAACCATTTTCACACATCCAAAATTGTTTTTTGTTCAAAATGATTTTACTTCAATATAAAACAAAACATCCAACTTGTGCCCATATACATGCTAAGCTAAGTTCTTGGCTAAATATTATATACAATTACATAATCGCATACATTATTTTCCTTCATTTTAACAAAAAGTACAACAAGGATTTTTTTTTATCTTTCAGAACATAATACACAATTTTGCTCTCTTTATTTAATAGAAATCCATAAAATGCCCTATCATTGCCTTAATGATACTGATGTGTTTGTATCTACTTCGCCGCACATGTACAAGGCATGTAATCTTGGAATAGAAAGTTACACAGTGTTTGAAACAACCTTCAAATGAAATTGCACATAAATACCCATTTTCTTTGTAGAGAACATCTACATACTAATCAGCCAGTCTACTAATCAGTAGAAAAGTACAAATAGCAGTTAAAAGTAGACAGGTCAAACTGTAGGTGGCGCTAATTACAGAATGGGATGTTATACCAGACACAATGATAGAGACTCCAGGCTCACACAGCTCACAGTTCTCACCACAGAACACACACGAGTCCAGGGTACGCAGGTCATCCAGGTTGTACGTCCTGGTGGCTTTTCTCGCTACAAAGTATTTTAAATAAACATATGATTACATTTCAGATACTTAGTATGAATTTATAGCATATGATCATCATTATTCTAATTAATAATAGTAACAGGTCCATTAACTTCCTGTTTAAAATTTCAGTGTACCAATGAAGATTTTCAATTCTTGAATTCATTTTGACATTTTTGAATGTATGACCCAGAGTCTGATTTTTTGAGTAAGTACAGTAAGTACAGAGTTGTGGACGGAGATAGAGGATAGGTGAAAACAGCAATTTTCAGAGCACTCATGACTCACTTACAGGACAATATAGAACTACTCAACTCTAAATCATGTAAATACTCTAGTGATGAGATAACACTGTTATAATATGGTTAAAAGCTCATAAAAGTGATGATTTTACATATGTTTCCTTTTATTTTAGTGCTGCAAAAAATGTTTCAACTCCAGTAACAAGGCCTATGCGTACTCACTTGGTTCATAGTAGTCATAAACACGCACTACTGCATCTTGTATATGAGCCACCTTGTAAATTCTGATGAGGGGAAGTGTGACGCAGACCTCTGTAGTGTTCAGCTGTAAGTCACATATGGCAGAGTCACAAATACTATATGTACTGTTCAATCGTAACATACTTCTGCGTAAAATACTTACAGTGTGAAAATAAAAGATGACTTTATCAGATAACGTTTCAGTCTTGGGGATCATGTCTGTTGGTGTAGTGGCTCCAGGGGAAATAGTGAACCCACTGAGCATGCCCACATCCAGAATGGCCATCCCTGTACTGGAGATGGTCTTAGTGTCCTTGAGTCTGGACATACAGAGAAAGAAAAAGTATTACTTCAATGTATTTAATTTTTAAGGAATCATTTTACAGCTGCATACCTCATACAGACAGATAACTGTAATCGGTTGTAGTCATCTCCTTGAGTGTTAACTTTCACATTTAACAAGAAGGCCTCCTCGTTCGTGATGCTTTGGAGATTTTCTGAAAAGGTTTTGCTGTCCATATTGTAGAAAACATTCATCTGATGAAATGAACAGAAGAATGAATATAAGCAGTGATGGGAAGAACACTTTGAAAATGTATTTAGTTACAGAATACTGAATATGCATTAAAATGTATTTTATAATGTATTCTGATACATGGGTCAATCAGAGTACTGTATTATGAATACTTCGAAGACTTCACACAGAGTTACATATAAATTGTAGTGTAAAGAGGCAACCTTGTATTAAAAACATCCAATCACTAAACATGTACACAAGAGCAATGTTTTCTATTCTCACTATACTCACTATACTCATCAATTCTGTGCAGTTTCAAGTCTAAATTGCAAGTACTACAATGTATCCCTTTAATTTTTAAAGTAACTATATTCTGAATACCACCAAATATAAAATTAACAGTGAATATAAGATACATTAACACTTTCCACCAGTTCTGACTGAAAAGGTTTTGTAAGCAATGGATAAACTAAAACTATGGTACATTTGAATATTATTTATCCCCCTGATGAAGGCCAGCTGGGTAAAATGTGCTGGGGATCAGTGTGGTCCTTTGACCTGTACCATAACTGAAAAAGTCATGCCATAATTATAAAAAGAATGTCTTGGTTTATGCATTCCTTGTAAAAATAGGCAGTGGTTTAAACCTAATTCCAGTTAAACTCACATAGTAAATGGCCACTCAATTGGATCACAGCAACTTGTGTAAAATGGTTATTTGCCAAACCACTCTATGATTTTGTTGTAATTTTTATTATACTTTTCCAAATTTTTCAAAATTAGCTTTATTTATGTGATAATTCATAAAAGAAACACAGTTGACAGTTTAGAACAAAGGTTTTCAACTTAACAGAGCAAAAGATTCATGTTTGGCCATACTGTTCTGATAGATGCCATCTGAACATGTATAGAGAAGCTGGATCATGTACATGTGTTCCAGATGTGCACTTCTGGGAGACCATTATCATGCTACATTTGCAATTTGAGGTTCTGTATTATAATACTCTATTCAGTACACTGTGCTGGCTGAACTGCATACATTTACTGTGGTCACGCTCTGCTTATTGAACCTGGTGTTTAGTGGATTGTGTTGCATATACGGAAATATTCTGCAGTTGTACTGTGTGTATATGCAGTGTTTTCATTGGACTAGTGATGCATAAATACAACATTTATGCACCTAAAATCCAAGTGGATGTTATGACTTGTACCTGAAATGTAGCAAATCCTCTTCCTTCCATGTATATGTCCAGTTTTAGATCATCGTAAACATCAATCTGAAGAGACCAAACCAAACACAGCATAGAATGTATACATTACAATACCAGTACAAAAGTCAGATAAATGCCTACAGCGGATGTTTGTTACCTCTTGCCTTTGATACATGCGGTAGTTGGTTGAGTTGATATGATGAATTGAAGAAAATGTGGTTGTTGGGGCAGTTATCTTAAGCCTGAGGTCAATAGCATTGGCTCCACTGAAAGCAGCAAAATGTGCCAAAGCCTGAAGAGCTATCACTGTGTCCTGAAGAAGAAAATATTGACAGGAGATGAACTTGAGTGTGCTTAAATACAGTATTTGAGTGTTAGTCAAATGTACCTGTGTGCTAACAAAACCTCCAAGATGATTCCTTTGGTTGCTAAGCCATTTCATTACAGAAATGGCTTCCACAATGTCCCCACGGTTAAAATATGCCAGGAGAATGTATGCACCGATTTCAATCTGAATTGCGTGAGACTGCTCATGTGAATGAGTGCCACCAGAGGACATCCATATCTTGGCTCCATCTTGAATATAAAAACAACCAGTTTAGATAGAGGTATGCTTCCAACTGCAATGTTTACTTCCTTCCTGCGTGTACCTCGATTATCCGCCCTCCTGCTGAGCTCTGCCAAGGCCACAGACACCTTGGACTGTTGGCAATGGATAAGGCATATGCAGCAAGAGCCAGAGTGTAGTTACTAACAGCCTGTGTGGAGATTTTTTTCTCCAGGTAGGTTTGAGCCAACAAGACCTGGTCAGCGTATCTTCCCTGCACATAAACACTTGGTTTTGGTATATATCTATAAGTATATATCTATAAACAGACACAAATGTCTTTTACTCACAACTGTGGTCTGATCTTCCAATAGTGTTATCAGGACGTACGCAGTGAGTGCCACAGGACCACTGTCCAGTCCTTCCTGCATCTCTGTGTGCATGGCTGTTCCCACCTCTCTGAACTCTCCCTCCGCTCCCTGCTGTTTCAGCATCCAATCTCTGGCTCTGGTCAGAACATTCTGGTCCACAGTGATGTAGGTCTGGGCTTGCTGGAAGCACTTCACCACAAATGCTGTTAGCCTGAGGACACAAACAGTGATGACATTTCAGCGTAATGTCAAACATTTTATATTTATTTTTGAGGAAAAAATAAAATTCATAACATTTGAAATAACATTTAGAGCATAGTGAAAAAGTGTTAATCATTACCATGTATTGCCAGAACTGTCACTATCTCCAAAGGCCCCAAATGAACCATCACTTTGCTGGTATAACAACTGCCGCTGATATCCTGGTTCACACAGACAATTCACTGGTAAAATGAGCATTTTTCATTTCAGTATAAAAAGTAGTGTGCATCTTGCCTTCCTCTAAATGCTTCATAGCCGTGCTCCTGATCTCACTGTCATCCTGACCAGACATCATCAAGTATCTCAAAACATAAATACTGGGAGCAAAGTGGACCATGTTCTGCTCTCCACAACCAAGAGGCAGGTCCACCAGAGAGTCCAGCTGGTGAATGGACAAGGCCAGTATGTCCCCTTCAAAAAGACAAGTTATCTTTTCTTTTTCATTTTTCTTGTGGAATGGTATGTATATTGCAAACAAAGTCCGTACCCCCTATAGCCAGATGTGCCCTGCGGGTGTCCGGGATCACTCCTGCTGGAAAAGCAAAGGTGGCAGAGATGGAGAAGTTGTTCATAGTAGGTGGTAGCTCCAAAAAAAGATTCTCCGAAACAGATTCCTCAACTCCCTCAGGCTGCCGAAACATAAGACATGTAATTCAATCAAGCAGTTACAACAATACCACTGATATATTTCCTGGAGCGATCTTCTGTTTTTATAGAATATGATCATTGTAAAGACATTTTCTTCATGTTATTTTTGATTTTATGAACATAACATCAGCCTGGCCAGGAACTACAGGTGGAAATGAGCTTAAGTTCTCTGTCCCTGTCTCAGTAAATAAATAAAATAAAAATAAACCTTCACGAAGACAGTCCAAACTAGGCTTTCTGATGCATCTGCAGATACAGCGTCCACAGAAATATCCACCTCCCCTAAAGCAGTCACTCTGACAGGAAACATGGCTTTAGCAGAGACATGGCTTCCCAACGTCAGCTGTTGGGCATTCACGACTGAGAGACCCCCACGTTGGGCCATAACAAACTCGAATGCATCACTTTCCGCCAGCAGTAAGATGACCTACAAACAAATGTAAGAAAACTTAATACAGGCAGATACAGGGCTGAAGGTGTGAAACTGTAGCAGGGAGTAAGAAAGTCAACAATACGAGAGAGAAAGAGACATACCTCAAGGTCCCGGTGTAGATGGTTGATGATGTTGACCTCCAGAACTATCTCCTCTCCTCGAATAAGGTATGGAGGCACATTGAGAGACAGGGAGAAGTCTTTGGTAATAGACAACTGAAGGGCACACAAAGGGAATGTTCAGTTCTTAAATATAGTTGATGTATAGTGACAGAACCAGAGCTAAATCTAAATGAACTAAACACTTAACTTAAAGATACATTGGGTAACTTTTCTGGAGGCTAATGCTTTTCTCTACAGAAGCCCTGAGCGACAAGAGAGAAAAAAAAAAAGAGGCACGTCATTTGGGCTCTATTTTCTAAGTGTTTATTTGTGTGCGTGTGCGTGTGTGCGTGTGTGTGTCTAAACCAGGTCTAAGCCAAGAAATCTTACTTCCCATATAACTCATAAAAGAGAATACAAAAGTAAAACTCATGAAAAGACTAGTTTCAACTAATGTGAATACACACATAACTGGGAACAGGTGAGCTTTGAACCCTAGTCTCCCATGTCCTAATCCAGAGCTTAACACAATAAGCTTTTCTTCCACTGTTTTATCATTCTAAATTTTGGTATTTACACGAACGAATATACTGGAAAAACACTTTTTTTTTTTTTAAATCAGCCACATCAAACAAACAAACAATTAAAAAAAATTACTTGCCTCTTTTTTTTTTTTTTTCTTGCCTCTCACTGCTTCCGTATTTCTATTTCTCCACTGAGATGTTACTGCTTTGTCTGGAATGTTTCACACTATAATAATGCATCAGGTCACATTTGTGGAGATAAAACCATCTGTAATTTAATTACTGTAATGTATGTCTAGTATATGTTTAATATCCTAAGAAACAAGCAAGTAACAGACGCCCAACCAAAAAGTTACATCATGCACCTCGAATTTGAAAATGGGGATAATCGTGCAAAATGATGATCCATATTTGAAGAAAGTTTCTATATTTTTCTCTCATTTTGGATATTACATAAAAACCTTTGCTTTTTAATGTCATCATATTATATAAAAGCTATAAAAAAGTATTTGATAGAGAAGTAAATTCTAATAATTAATATTAAAAATAAATTAAATAATTAATAAAAACTGTTTTGTTTGAATTTGTGAAAGGCCTGTTTGACGTAACCCCCACACATTTACAGTTCACCTGATAAACCCTATCCAAAAACATTATTAAAAAATATAGTTAATAATATTTACTTTCTGTGATGTGAAGCCCAGTCCGTGTTTTTGTGACATGACGAAAGCTGCAGCTCTGAGGGAGTTCACACCATCTGGTACTGTTATTTTCTCACTCGTCCACGTAGTATCACTGAAAAATGATGTGCATAATAATTACATATTCATATATACATTTTATGAATACATTTGAATATTTCAGATGGTGGTTATGTACCCCATTGTTGCATCTAACCACATCAGAGATTCAGCTCCATCCATAAAATGGTACCAGTATTTCTCTATCATATCTGCATCCCAGAGAAAAGACATTCGGTTAGAAAAACAGAATTATTTTTTCGTGATTACTACAGTGGTAATTTCCTCACTATACCTTGGGTAGAGCCATCAAATGACTGGGTTTTATACAATTTCCCATTTGTCAACATCCGAACAAAACATTCCTTTATAAAGAGATAGAAAATGTCATCAGTTTTAGTAGATGAAATGTAGGAGCAAGTAACACAAACAACAAGTGTTTAGTCTAAAAATATGTGTCAAGCAATGGAGTGTGGTGTAAGGAATACAAAGAGCAGAGTGTCAATTGCACAATTATCTGCTATCATATCAATAGCCCTGGAGCTAAGCCTGGAACCCTGCACCAGAATGACCATATTATAGTAAACCAGAGTCAATTCCATACAAAGGAGGCATATACGTTACAGCCTGGGTGAATGGTTTAGGATTTGCATAGATAACAAAACCTTATATGAATCTTATAGGTACTTAATGAAGACTTATCCTCTGGTTAAACAAACACATTTAAATATTATTTGTATTCCTACAAATAAAAGAAAATGGCAAGTAAACCTTGTAAGCTTACCTGTTCCACTTCAAAGTGTGTGGAAACCTCTGGAGCAGAGTCGTGCATGCCCATGATGACGATGCCCACCAGAGAGCCACTGTCAGGCCCAGTGACACTGATGGTCACCTGCTCCCCTGGCTGGGCTGCCTTACTGCTCCAGTTGAGAGAGATCTAAAAGAAACACACATGTAAAAAAAAAAAAAAAAAAAAAAAAAAAAAATCTTGTTTCTTGTTATTTATTCTTTATTTAACCAGGGTAGTCCCACAAAGATTTAGATTCATTTTCAGGCAGGTCCTTCCTCCAGAGGGGACCTGTTTTTGTGGTAGGGAAATTCAGAGCACTTGGAAGAACCCTATGCAGACACTGGGACAGCATGCAAACTGAACACAGAAAGGACCAGCACTACTCAGGACTCAAACTCTCAAACTGCTGTGAGGCTAAAGCACTAACTGATTCATATACAGCAATGTTTCCCAAACTTTTGTTCTGGGGACCCATATTTTAAAAGTCACAAACGCAACCCAAGTCAATAGACATTATTCGCAAATCACAAAATAAAGGTAGATTTGATCATTATGGAACATTAATGAGGATATTTTATTGTTGACTGAGTGATCGTGTCTCTCTGAACAATTAGTATTACTCAAATTCTAAACAATGAAAAACAGTCACTGAACCAGCAATAAAAGGACCCATAAGTCGTCTATTTGGACATTAAATGTAGCCCTTTTTTTTTTCTTTTCAACATTCAATTGAACCAGCAATATTGGAACAAAATAAATAATTACAAAAAGATTAGAAATTATACAAAACATGTCTTAACATTTGAACATTTCTAATGAGACAGGTGGGCCTGTCTGTGTTTTTGTAGTGCGTTCCTATCCGGGGTGCAGGAGGAGAGGGCAGCAGCAGATCAGGCGACCCAAAAAAAATCTCTTGCAACTCACCTGAGGGTCGCAATCCAGTCTTTGGGAAACAATGATATACAGTACATAACACATAACACTTTTGTTAAACAATCACTTATTAATGGGTAATTGAAAATTGGAAATGTCAGCTACTTGTTATTCAGCTGTTAGTTGACTAACTGCGAAGCATTTATTAATAGTTTATTTACTCCACTGTCTTTAGTAAATACGGTAAGTGCATTAGTAGAAAAAAGTAGGCACAAGCTAATTAATATATCACACTTCATATACCTCTTGCTGTTTGACCAGAAGATCTGCGGTGTCACTCATGATCTCCCCGTTAGCGAGGACACAGTAGACAGTCACACAGGCCTGAGGGACCCAGGCTGCTGTGGGAGTCAGAGAGAAAGAACCAAATGTCTTTGTCCCAGCAGCCACAACCTGCCCCCTGGATTTCACCTGGAAGAGCACACAATGGCACAGGGACATGAGAAATTCTGAGTGAACTTTACTGTATAGAACTGTATTGTGCTTACTAAAGAAAAGACTTATTAAAAAATGACGTGACACATACCACGTAGTGAAGCAGTTTAGGCTCGACTGAGCTCTCCAAGGTGATCTGAACAGGTGATCCTATCTGAAATTATGGATTAAAAATGCAGTATGTGTAACAGAAAAAAACAAAACAAATGTGTGTACTCTACAGGTTTGGATTTTTGATTAAGGAAAAGTGCATCTTGAGGATACCTGTGTGGGAGTTATTGGAGAGATCTGGATATAGGAAGCACTTGGAGATGGGTGAATTCTGGAGAGATTTATAGCAACAACGCTGGAGTGGAATCTTGCCTGTTTGTAAAAATAACAAAACCTTTTCACAACGACATGTTTACTCATTGAAACATTTTAGGGAGGGCGATATTTTGTTCTATACTGAAACTACTCATCTTACACTGTGAAACTGCCGAACACTGGCCTCCCCCCTGAGGATCCACATACCATTTAAATCAAAATGCTCACCTGAATAAAAAGCGCCTCTACTTCAGCCTGTAATCTGAAGCTCACGCGGACAATCCCGTCTTCAGGCACCGGACGTGAGAGAGACGTGGGCTCACCAGTGTCCATGGAGGTCTGAGTTATCTCAATCCACACAGACTCACGCATATCTGCTGAGCTCAAGGACTGCTGGTCAAAGCGAGAGATCTTGAGCTGTGGAAAAAAAAGTTATTACAAAAACTAATTTGTGTGGAGAAAGTACACACATTTGTCCAAAAGTGTGACTACATTTAATTACAAAAATAAATAAATTAAATATAGTAAAGTAGTAAAGGTAGTCAAATAAACTAAACAATGAATCTATTCAAAAATAAAATAATTGTCTGTATTATTGGTATAGTATAGGGGTGTAACGATATCCAAGTCTCACAATACAATATTGTCATATTGCGATATTTTGTGGAGGTTAAAGAGCTAAAAGTGTTAATATGCTACTTTTTCCTCTTAAAGTGCCTTGACAAGACTTAATCCAAAGAACCTTAAAAGTGCTTAGAACTGTTATTTCTTCTTGTAGTCGACACTGAAATGGAACAAAGGATCATGGTCTATGTAGTTCCCTCTGTCTTTTTTAGATATTGCTGCACCATAACTCTTCATTTAAGCAAAGTGACTTGTAATTTGATATATTGTGATGGTCCACAATATTATTGTGAGAACTCTGATGATACGATATCACGATATTTCGCTTATTGTAACATCCCTAGTATAGTTTTATGCCAGATGCCCATCCACACAGATTACCCACTTCTGGTCAGGTAGTACACAGAATATCTTATAACAGACCTGGGCATTTTGCAGCATCTGTAACATTTTTGCTAATAATTATTTAATCATCATTTAAGAATGATTATAGTCTATTAATAATTTACAGCAGCCCATATTATACAGAAATATGCTTATGAACATTTGTTAGACCAGTGAGTGAATTGTTCTGCGCCTCAAATGTAGTTCCAGGGAAAGAAACTGATTGCTCACCCCTGCCTTGTAATCACAAAATTATTTTCCATACAAGCCATAGTAAATAATGAAGTACCTTTGCAAAGAACTCCATTCCCGGCTTTAGTGCTTGAGGATAGTTGTGTAATGTTAGGTGATACATCTCCTTGGAAATTTGAACTGTAACTTGTTTGGTTACTTCAATTCCTTTGGTGACTTCAGAATTAAATGGGAAAAAAAAGCACAGGGCAATGATTAATGCTATTAGATCAGCCCAGAGAGTTCAGAGATAGCTAACCTGTGGTATCTTACTTGTGGAGTTATTAATAACAGCAGCATGGAGGGAGACCATAACATCTTTGCCACTTTGTACTTTTGCAATCAGTGAATGCAAATCATCCTTACTGAAATGAAAGTTTGTGGACCCATAGATCTGAAAACACATTTACATTCATGTCAAAATACAGATAAGTGGCATCCCAGATAAAAAAAAATCAGTGCACCTCTCTGGTCTGAGTCAAAGTGAAGGTCGAGTCATCATCAGCTGTGGGTACAAGTGTGAGTGTAACTTTGACTGTCCCGTGCACAGGCTGCCCACTGGAGTAACTACGTGGAACAAATTGGCTTGTTATAAAAACCATGTCTGTATGTACTTCATCACTACTTTTGTTTCCACTTTTGGTACTTACAGGGCCCTCACAGATCCTGAGATATCCTCACGAGTCAGAACATGAGAGGGTGTGTTGATCAAAACATCAAAAGCAGGATTTTCTGTTTTAAAAGAGACTTAATTATGAAAATTTACTTGATTATTTTTTTCAATAAACGGCATTAGGGTGTAATCATGAGATTAGTAAATCACAATACTCAATTCAACATCATTAATACAAAATGTCACTCTTACCAAAATGTTCCACAAAAAAGGTTATAGCATCAGTCAACCCCTAAGAAAAAGAAAAGACCAATTTTGAAAAACAGATCTATATATAGAGGGAGAGAGAGAGGAGCCCATTCTTCAACAGGCTCCTACAGCTCCGCTCAAACAGTCAGAGGTACAGGACTATATTCATACCATACTTTATACAACTGTACGACAATTTACCCTTATCTAACAGATAATACTCCCTACAACTGTACAACAACTTACCATTATGTCACAGGTTAATCATTACTTAACAGAGGTGGGTGAGTCAGACTAGAGTCACTATATTTAGGACTTGAGACTTGACAAAATGGACTAAGACTTGGGACTACACTTGGACTTGAAGGTCAGTGACTTGGGACTTGACTCAGACTTCAGGCCTGTGACTTGAGAAGACTTGAGAAGCACTTTTAAATCTGAATTCTTTCTATTCTGACTGTAATGATTCAGACTAAGATCTTGTCAAGACATTTAAAAAAAAAAATTACATTTCTTACATACTCCATAAATACTCATATAAATACACTATGATTTTTTTTTTTAAGTACAATCTAGTTTAAAATTCATATATATTGCAAAAATCAAAGCTATATTTGGCACTTTGGTTTAAAGACTTCAAATGACTTGAAGCTCAAAGCAGATGACTTGAACTTGACTTGGACTTATGGGCCAGTGACTCGAGACTTGACTTGGACTTGCCTGTATTTGACTTGGGACTTGACTCGGACATGAGGTCAAAGATTTGAGACTTGCAAAACAATGACTTGGTCCCACCTCTGCTGTTTAATCTCCACACTGTTTCACATTATGACCTATAGCCAGTGTTGGGGAGTAACAGATTACATGTACCGGAGTTACGTAATCAGAGTACAAGTTAAGAGTAACTGTATTCAGTTACAGTTACTGTTTCAATGAGTGGTAATTGGATTACAGTTACTTTGTTGAAATAAATGGATTACACTGCAGTATTTTCCAGTTTTCACATTTTGGGCTAAACCAGAACTAAAACCAGAACCAAACCAGGTCTAAACCAGGTCTAAACCAGGAATAAACCAGGTCTAAACCAGGTCTAAACCAGGACTAAACCAGATCTAAACCAGGACTAAACCAGATCTAAACCAGGACTAAACCAGGTCTAAAACCAGGTCTAAACCAGGACTAAACCAGGAATAAACCAGGTCTAAACCAGGACTAAACCAGATCTAAACCAGGTCTAAACCAGGTCTAAACCAGGACTAAAACAGGACTAAAGCAGGATTTAACAGGACTAAACCATGTTGTGCGGACGTGTCTCCTCCTCTTCTATCAATAATATTTTTAATACAGTTCAGTAAAATCTGGGCTTTTTATTTTCTTTTAGCAGACAAAACATCTTATGCTACGATATCCTGGTCTTTGCTTCTCTACAGCAAATCAAGTAATCCAAAGTATTCAGATTACGTTACTCACTTTAAGTAATTTAATGGATTATGTTACAAACTACATTTTGGGGTATGTAATCTGTAATCTGTAGGGGAATACATTTTAAAAATAACCTTCCCAACACTGCCTATAGCTGATATATGTTCGTATCATTATATTTGTATATTTTATTTTTACTTGTACTTGTACATACATATTGCTATTTTTGCTACTTATTACTCTGAATGTGTGTATTATTACCATTTACATTTTGTCATTATAATTTATTGTGATGTGTGAGCTACTGTGTCCAAATAATTTCCCGTGTGGATCAATAAAGTTCATCTGAGCCTAAGTTTAACCAAATAGTTTAACATTAAAAGTATAATGAAAACCTACATTGATTGTTGTTACGACTGTCCACCGTCCAAGTGGACCTGCCTGGGGTAGGATGAAATCTCGCAACACAATCCCATTATTCCCACTGGACTGAGATCTGTCGGCAGCATTCCCACTGGGATTCTGTGTATAGCCAGACCCAACATATTCAACACATATACACATACTTAAAGGGCAAATATTGTGCTAATTTGTAATGCATGATATCAGGTTGTTTTCTCATCACAAACACACTTGGAGTTGTGTTTTGTGTCATTCACACATGTTTTACACGCAATGTTTTAAAACTCCATACACCTCCAGTAAAATCAATTGGATGAGGCTGCTTTTAATTTGAAAAATATCATTAGATGACACCACAAGGTGGAACAGAGCATTTTAAGATTTGGAGATGTAGACGAACTAATAAAGGGTTACTCAAACAGGTATGAATGAAACAAAAACTAACTTAAAGCTCACATGAGTCCATTTTGTGTATAATATATATATATATATATACCTATATATATATATATATATACAGTACAACAATACACTTACATTTATAGAGAGGTCCACTTTGCCATTGTAAGGATAATTATCGTGGTAGACTAATGCCACCCTGACCCTCACATGGTCCCCTGGCTGGTAGCGTGGTTTGTCCGTCTGACTGAACACAGTGACATTTCTGGAACTGAACGGTATAGTAGTGATGTTGGTAAAAATAACCTCATCGCCTTTGTAGCCTCTCACAGTCAGCGTGAATGGAGAACTCTTAAGATTTGAGTCATAAATCTGTAACACATGTTGACACTCAAGTTAGAAAATAAGAATAAACCAAGATCCCAAAATAAAGTATTACTTACTGGAGGAATTGTAAGCAGTCCTGTCACATCTATGGAAAAACAGAAAATGATTCAACCCACAACGTGTTACATAAGAGAAAAAGAGTTGATTATTATAGCAACTAAAACACAAGCATGGATATCAGATCAATTTGACATTAAATTATCTAAAATTAAACCCTCTTGTGAAATGAATGCATTGGAGCAACATCATTAAGTCTTCACCTTTTGTAAACGCTTCAGATTTCTCCATTTTGACATTGCCCTGTAAAATTTCAGCAGAGACACGGACACTGAAATCTGCCAGGATGGTCACTGCCAACGACGTGGGCATCCCAGCGTGAATCTGCTCTGGAACAGACACCAGGAAAAGAGAGCTAAAGGGAAAAAATAAAAACAACTTGAGATCCATTCAGAGATAGAACATATAAGGTATTAGACAGTTTCCAACCTGGGTGATTGCTGATGTGATCCAGGTACATTTAGACTTATAATTCCCAAACACAAACCTATCCTATAAAGGCACGCCATGTTGACTTTTGGACGTGCACTTCTGAGTCTGCTCTGAGAAGCATACCTGTCCTATACCTGAATGGGACAAAACTCCGCCTCCACTGGCCCAGAATTCCCTGATCACATGACCAAATACTCACAGGTAGTATCACATGTGTACTCAGCCCTGAACAAAGGCTGTGGTCTGGAGGGGCAGGGGTAAAGACACATTTCAACGCCTTGGCCCAGGGGGGTCGGGGCTCAACTGTCTATTCATAGGCTGTCAACTCACATCACTGATATATAGGTATAGGCCACCCTGCTGTCACAGAATATGTAAGATGATGAGCTTAGGAATTTTAATAGTAAAACCACCAACACAAAATCCTTTTCATAAGAATTGTTATATTGAAGAACTTTTCTGCATTTAACTTAATTAACAAAAAAAAAAAGAAATACTCCTCTAAGATTGTATACTTCTGTTGGTCTAGCATGTTTGCACTAGTGTTTCAAATACAACCAGTGTCACAATAAAAGAATCTAAATCTCAATTTTTATATTGAGGAAAAAAACCTATATTTGATACTAGAGGTGGGGACTTACAAGTCGTGATTAGACTCGGGTCAGACTTGAAGGTCATTGACTTGGGACTTCACTTGGACTTGAGTCCTGTGACTTGAGAAGACTTGATGCTTCTCCTAAAAACATTTTTCTTTTTTCAGTTGATACATGTGCTGCAAATATAAAAGCAGTGATTCCCCATATGACCTATAATACTTTATCTAAAGAGTAAAAGTGTTCTATAGCTGTTCAGGAAAGGCCATAATTTGGCCTATTCACTGCATGTTTAGTAGGTTATACATTCTGCACAAATGAGTATCTAGTTTAGATAATTACTTTGGTATTTGCTGACAACCCAACCCACAGAAAATATATGAAGCATGCCTCTTCTGGACAGCAGATGGCAGCAGGGTCAAAGCTTTACAAATGAGAGAAAAACAATCCTACTACTACACAAATGGTTTTAACTTTAATATTTTATTACTTTGGTATTTTTACACTAGTTACATAAAATATACAGTAATAAATTCACACTTATTTTGGCACATATTAGTACTGACATAGTGGAATTAATTTGTATCTGATGATGCTTGTGAAACAAGAGATGTTCAAATGAAACATACAAGCCTCCAGGTCAGGCATTTGCATTGGCTCCAAATCTTTCAGTGTGTGCAATGTCAAACCAGTGGTATGTAGTATTCACAAGAACATAATTCAGTCACTTAACAAGTTTCACTTATGTCTGTGTGACTGTTATTATGTAAAAGAGTTTTGTCTTGAATGCCCACTACAGCAGATTATTATTGATACATTCTAACAACAAAGTGCTGATGTAAGTGCATATTTACAGGATGGAAGTGAAAGACAGAGGTTAAAGTTTCAAACATAACATGAAAAGGAAAACTGCCAACTGAATTGAAGAAAGGCATGCTGGGATACAGTACTTTCTGTCAGTGAGGTGTCAGTGTGAAGACGATTACTGCAACCAACACTACATAAAACGGTTGCTGGAACTTTAGCACATTTAGTATTCAGTCTTTTTGAAACTTTATGAAAGCTACACATTATGCTTTGCAACAAAATGCAAAATGTCATTTTATGTTAATATGATCCGTGCATGGCAAGAAAATGCGCATGTGCATGGCAAGAAAATGCAAAAATATTAACTTGAATGTGATTTGAGTTTTGCAAAAAAATATTTCTTTTTTACATTCATTTCAAGAAAATATCTAATTTGTATGCAGGCATAACACTGGGGTAACATTCACTGTGTATTGATGGAGACAAAATGTCTCCTTTTTTCCAAGTAATCCTAAAAAAAAAATAAAAAAAAATAAAAAAAATCACACAGTCCTAGATGCGTTTGCTTTGATCATTCCACATTACGAGTCCCGAGGAGAGTACCTCCATCACATTTCAAAGTGTCGGTACACACTCTCCACATAGCTCAGGACCCTCTGCCAGTCTGGACCACCCACTCTGAGCATCTCCTCCAAAGTCTGCAGCACAGAAACAAATATCACACCAACCTTATATTTACTGAATCTATGAGGAAATTGTCCAGTGTAAAAAGGGCACAGAGGCTTACCAAAGTGGGCTCTATCCCCACACTCTCCCCTGTTTTGAATGCCAGGCTGAGGTTTTCCCTCTGGGAAAGCAAGTGTACAATCAATAGTTGAACACAATAAATCACTGTGTCCCAGTCATTGCACAGGCAGCAGCAGCACATACCTTGTTTTCTGGGCTGAGGCTGTTGTAGGGGATGTGTGAGGGCAGGTAAGTGTGGTAGATGGCACAGAAGGCCAGACCGTCGGCCCAGCTGCTGCTGAAGTTGGTAATGTCAATATTCTGAATGAAAGAATGGAGCACAAAGGAAGGAACACTGCAGTGAATATTAGGCACTTGGACAATGGGAGCACTACCTAACAGTGTATTATGAGAAACACGCAGAAAATGACTACCATTTCTGAAATAAATTAATTCCAGCTATATTGCCCCAAATATGACATTAGGTTTAGGGTTAGAGTTAAATACAACTCCAGTGGTAAAATATAAAAAGGAAATAAGAAGATATCAAGTCCAGACATCTCTGAATAAAGGGAAATAGTTGGTGCCAAATAGAAAAAAGTAAATATGCATAACTAGCTAAAACAGTTAATTTATTCAGTGACGTTCATGTTTATCCATCTGTGTCAAAGCCTTCAAGTTAAAATATGCCTCTTTATTGCTCCTCTTGTGAAGTTGTCACATGTGCCCTTTAGATTCTAAGGCCTTTATATATTATATGCATTAACTAAGCCCAGTGGTGTGTATGGTGGACCTTATAGCCTTGAGTTCGATTTTGGCACCAGCGAAGCAGTGAGTTCCTTTTGGAGCCTCCATGGCGACGCAGCAGCAGATTGAAGCCGTCCTGTGACCTGTCAACCCACACAAAAGATACACACATACTGTGTGAGTTGTAGCTTTGTCATGAAAAGAAACTGTACAGACATAAAAGAGACATTTATTTTGGTATCCTGTCTTGTATATTGAGTTTGGTCATCAATAATTAATTGGCATCTAACAATGCTTCACAAAAAGGAAGGAAGAATTTCTAAAAGCTGCTATTAAACACAATGTACTCACTTAGTGGGAGGCAGATCAGCGAGGGCAGAGTTGTACTTATTCAAAGACTCCTCACGCTTTCCTGAAAATCAATTAAGAAGGAGATGACTAAAAACAAGATATTTACTGTGGGCCACATTTTGAAATACTTTACTTGATAAAAAACATGATAAAAAATAAATAAATAAAATAAAATGATTCTCTGAGCAAACTTCACTTACCTTTATCTGAGCTTTTGTTGTCTTGCCAGTCCAAACTTCTCCTGCCTTTTAGTTGCACTAGATTCTAATAACAAAACACATTACTAGTGTGTTTAGCCAAAGTTTAGCCAAACATGTCTTAAGAAAGTCCATTTGGGCATACAAATCACCTTGTTTGTAGACCCAGATGTTGAAATAGTATTTGATTGAGAATTTCTGTTCTGAGTAGTAGAGAACTCTGCTGACGCTGGTAATCTGGACAAGCTCCTGCAAAAGGGAAAAAGTAACATAATTATGCACAAATCAGAAGCAATGTGAGTTAACAGCAATAAACTCACTTTTTATTTTATAGAACAATTTGACTCAATCAAGAACTGACTTGTATTGTTTATTGTCAAAACTGACTTTTTGACAACAAACTAACACAAAAACTAGAAGCATGATATTCAGCTTTGAATAATGGTTCTTTCCAGGCAAAGACATTTGAGCTCATGCCAAACAAACAAATCTTTTGTGCCACTTCTGAAGCTCCGCCCACTCTATTCAAATGAATGTGTTCTATACAGTGCCTACAAACACCCACTCTGTGCTGCCTGCAGTCAAAACAGTGTTTTCAGTTCACACAATGGGAAACTAGCATGCAGTGTACAGTATACAGTCAAACTGATCATATTTACTGTACTTGAAGTGCATTTTTATTCTCTGACAAGAATTATGTTAACAATGCAAAGATAATAGTAGTAAATGTATGATGTTGAATTCACAGAATGGCTTGGATGGCATTGTATAAACATCTTAAACTAAAATGCAAGTGTGAACATGATACAAACCTTGACCTTTCTGTGGTTAGGGGCCTCCTGGTCTCACTGTGGACTTCCTCTCCACTTCGCTCCTCATTGGTCACATTTTTCAGGTACCTCTTGGTCACATCTCTTCTTGGCCCTTCTTCCTGTTTGGAGTTTTCATTGTCATTTCCAGTGTCTCTGCATTCACCTCCCAGCCTGTGTGCGGCCCTGTCCCTCCCCCTTGGAGTCTCCTCTTTCTGATCACACTTATTAGCGCTGCTTTTATCTACATTGTGAATAGTATCATTGGTCTCAGATGTAGGGGTGATTCCTGCTAGCCTCTGCCTGCTCTCCTTCAGCTCTCCTCTCAGAGTCAGCAGCTGCAGGTCTGCATCTTTCTGCCGTTGTTGAGCCGCGGCGAGTTCCCGCTCCATGTCCTTATGGGCAGTCCGAAGAGCCGCCAACTCCTCCTCTGCCTCCGCACGCAATCGATCCGCCACTGACACCGCCACCTGGAGGTCAGCCTGGAACTGCAACCACTCTCCACGCTCACTCTGCACATATAGAACAGCACAAAATGGTGTGAACAACAAAACAAAACAAACAGTTGAGATGGCATCTAGTCAAGGAAATGAGCGTCCAGGATAGCTATTGAGAAGACAAAAAAATGACATGAAAATCCCTACAATAATCTGTAATAGAATAATCGAAACAGAGACATTTTTGGCAAAGCTTGATAACAATAAATTAAAGTTTAAAAACAAGTTTCAACAAGAAATGAATAGTAGAGCCAAGTGGTTATGCATAAAGTACTTTGTACATACTACATACACACATCAAGCATATCCCTTACACCAGGGCAATCCATCCATAAAGAAATATGTGAGAGAACAAGACAAACTATCCCTATTTCATTTTGGCAACATCATAATAACTGTTTCTCTTGTTCTTTGCTCCACAGTTTAACTTGAGACTCCAACATGTCCAAACACTACGTTGCAGATTTCGACAGACTTCAAAAAGACTGATCGGAAATGAGAAAACTTAGATGATGACGTAATTAGTTGTTTCTAAGAAAGTTTTATCATGAAAAGAACTTAGGAAAAGACAAGAGTGCCTGAAAGAGGAATATGATGCAAAGTAAACCAGATATGAGAGCTATGGGAGAGCAGAGCAGCGCTGAATTGTAATTAGGTGAAGAATGGTTATGGGACGTGGAGGAGGCGTGATATCTGAGCCAAGACGCTCCCTCATCTGACCAGCAGTGACTTAAGACCACAGCTGGACACAATTATGCTGCATACACATACAGACACAGAGATCAAGTTCCCCTTTCTTCTCCTTAAACACCCCCTTGTTCTTATACCTCACTGCTAAACCACATTGTTAAGTCTCACACACTGTCTGGAGGACATTTACTGGCACAATCCGTTACATACAAATACAAGGCCTGGATTAAACTGCATCACAAATATGCAAGAAATGTTTGTATAATGATAGATCAGCCTGCTTTCCCTCAACCTAAAACATGCAACAATAACACAATCTATGTAATCCTCAGTTCTCTGGACCAAGCCTAGAAAACTGTAGAGATGTCCTGTGCTCTGCCTTGAGAAGACCACCAGCAGCAGCAATAGAAGATAGGTCAAATGAGGGAGACATATTTCCAGGTGATATCATGACAATCTACCAGAAATGTGATAAGACATGTCTTTACATGTCTATGTTGTGTAACTTTGTTGTGTAACTTTTGGTGCAGGGTCTGTTACCAGCTTCTCTGCATGGAGATGTTGCCTGGAATGTTCTCAGAGTAAGAATGCAAGTTCTGAAGTCAATAAAAAACATGTTCTGAGTAAATACCAGATGGAAACATTTAATGCCAGGACATCACAACAAAATTGCAGATATATACCCTACTTTAGAGGTTTAAAAATTTAATTTGCAGTTTTTTTAATTAAAGGCAATATAATGTATATTTTGATAGACAAACTTTGCATATCTTCAAAACAACATTCACAATATTATCTATCTCCATTATTGATAATCTTCTTTCCTCTTTGTGAAAGCAGTAAACCCTATAAAGAGAAGTCATATCATGTAGGCCTGCCAAGCTATTTAAAGATGCACTCTTCATATACAGTGGGTCTCCAGTAAGGAACCATAGCCTTGAACTGAGTGTGGACACTATCTGCTAAAGAAAACAGGAAAAGGCTCCTCTGCGCACATCGAGATAAGGGTGTGAGCTGTCAGTACAGAGAGACACACACAGGCCCTCCCACTAGAGCACGACCCAATGCCCCACTGCATGACCAGATGTGGGATCCTGCCGGCCCACTTGCACGTGTACATTAAGATACACGTTGTGGGTGTTGAAACATATGCCATTTTCCAACAATTCCAGGAAAAAACATCAAGACAAACTGGAAAACTGGGAAGCATTGTCCAAACATCTGTCCCTGAATCACCCCCACACCCACACCCACACTTTATTGAACATACTTGGAGTAACATCCAAATTGTGTCATGGATTTTAACTTGTCTTCGAAATGCCTCTCTTGTGCACTCTCATGAGATACAACTGAGGCTAAAAGAAAATGACTTCACTTCTAATAAGTAATTCAGCCTCCACCCAGTGTTCCCTTGTGTCAAGCTCAGATACATGTGATGGGTTGAACAAGAAAGGGCATCTGACTTAAAACTAAATCAAAAAATGTGACAGGACGCCTAATCCCATCAGATCTCAAAAGCTAACCAAGACCGGGCCTGGTTAGTACTTGGATGGAAGACCACTGGGATCTCCAGGAGCCAAAGTGGGGCACCTTAGACAAGACACTTCACCCACATTGCCTAGTATGAATGTGGTGTGTGCGTGAGTGATGGTTACGGTCAGAGGGGCTGATGGTGCAGATTGGCAGCCTCACTTCCATCAAAAAGGTGCTATATAAATGCAATGATTAATTAAAAATGAATACATTAATTAACACAGAACAAGGAGAAGGGACGAAAACAGGACATGAAACCAAACTGGAAAAAAACGTATCACCAGAGGGAGCCACCACCAGCACCTGTACCTGCACCAGTACCACAGTTTGAAAAACATGCTATGTGTGATTTACATAACAAATTAGGAGCAAACACTCAGTCAAGCATTCTCGAGTGCTTTAAGTCTTCCCTCTTGGCCCCTAGACACAATGCACTCAGCTGTAACAAGCAACCTGAAGATTCCTGGAATTTAGCCCCACCATCCACATGGAACCAAGGCTAAAACAGGCCTTTATATTGACTCAAGCTCCGGTAGAGAACCAATTATAACCCTTCACTCTCTCTTACACATACACACACAGACTATTCAGTGTACGCAGCCTTGAGAGGGACATTTTCATTGTTAGTGTGTAAGCCAAACTAAAGACTATATAAGCTGCTGGCAAACGCCAACATTCTTAAGTGAAAGTCGAAAAGGTATGCAAGCCTGTGCTAAATATAGTGCAAGTGAGACCCAGTTCAGTTTCTTGAATAACTGATTATTTGTGAAGAAAAATATCAAATGCATGCAAATGTGTGTGTGTTTGTGGTCATATCGAGAAGTGTTGCTATTAAAAAGGTGCATTGTGAGAAGGGTCACTTTCTTCATGGGGATGTTATTGCTTTGTCTGGAATGTCTGTTTTTCTGGGTATTTCTGAGCAGTAAAACCACTTGTAATTGAATAAATGTAAGGTGACTTCTTGGGTTCTTTTTAAAGATAATACAGTAAAGTGTATTTACCTTGTTGACATGTTTCGGCTGCTTTTGTCAACAAGGTAAATACAGTACAGAAAAGTGTAAGTACAAGTTAAAGTACATAAAAAGACAAAATGAACATCTTTGGCTTTGTAAGGTACACTGTTTAAATGTAGGATTGTTTAAAGTCATACTGTGGAATATTCCAGGCAGAGCAATGACATATCCATAGAAACAAACAGGTGACAAACCCCCAACCAAAGTTATATAGTCCACTTAAGATACAATTACTGCGTACTAATTTTGACACAATTTAAACCCTTCCAAAGTACAATCTGTAAATGTTAACACTAATGGCGTAGCTGCTATTCTAGTCTAAATAAATGAAGACAAAGGTGCCAAAAAAACAAACCACACACCACCATACAATTAAGAGAAAATAAATACAAATCATAACAAAAGAGCGAGTAAAGGAGCGTTATGCATAAAGTCAATTGGATAGAAATCAAGCAAACATTTGGCTGCAGTAGTAGAAAAAGAACAAAGAAAAACAACAAATGTGTTTTAGAGATTGACAAGCCTGGGAGAAAGTGTTCCAGCGACCATTGTTGGGCAATTGTTGGAGCTATTGTATTGGGGAGAGGTCAGCTGTGTGAAGGAGAAAGAATGAAGACAAGGCGAAGAGGCACAGTGGGGGAAAGAATGAAGTTTCTAAGAGAAAAAAAAACATCAGCTGTATCATTCTGTGCACGTTTGAAGAGTCTCACGTGCACACATACAATAACACAGGACCAGACTGTCACCAGCATGCCAACAACTTTGCGTGTTGTGGATAGCTAAAGCAAAGCCCCTCCTTGGTGGTTCCTCTACAAAATAGACTCCCAGCACAGCAGACCGGGATAGTTCATAAAGTTGAGGCTTTACTAGCTTATATTGCTCTATTGAGGGCCCATATAAACACAGTGTCAAATTGCTCTAGTATTCATATACATGGTGAGCCATTATTGCCCAACCGCACTCACTCAGAGGGTTGGCTGCTCTGTGTTAAGTTTAAATTTTAGAGCCAATGTGGGGGATGTAGAAAAGAAGCCAAGAAAATAAAAGGATATGAAAAGTTTAATATAAGATGATAAATAAAATGTTGTGTAGTATTAGAAGGGTCAAAATGGAAGTAAAATACACAGATAATAGTTGTATTCCATCTGTTGTTATCTTCAGATCTGGAGGAGCTTGAAGCCTCCAGCTACAACTCTCATAAGGGAGGGTCAGGAATTGGAACGAGTTACAGGAAATTACTACAGAATATCACCTTTCTCATTGGAGCGACAGATGCCTGGAGAACTGAGCATGTGTAGTACAAGAATAGAAATTTGGTAAGATTAATTTGCCTCCACGTTGAAATTACAAAAGTGTACAAACGTGCGTGTCTTTTTACCCCGCATTTTTTTCCTCATCAAAACTAGGATCATTTATTGTATAGTATCTCTAAACTATAACTGCAACTTATGATTTTACCAGTTTCTTGACAGGAAAACCCCAATTTAGATGAAATGCATTTCCCCAAGAGGTCCAGCCCAGTTCACGGCCTATTGTGACGGGCAGAACAAGCAGTAGTGTCTTATCTCCTGGATGAAAGGTTACATGCCCTATGTGGACTCGTAGTGGATTTCCTGTTTACAGTGCTATATTTATACAGGGAAGTGCTTCGTTTTTTCCTTTAAATGTGTAACGTTATGTTTGTAGTAATTGCATATAAGGAAAGGCACACACCCTGTAATGGTAATTCTAAAGGCAGCAATTTCTCTCTCATGTTGTTATTACCTGCAGGGAGTGTTTCAAGCTTTTCACTTCTGATAGTAGATGCCTCAGTGCCTCTGTAAAAGGAAAGTAGCAAAGTGAATAAAAAATACTTCTACCAACAATAAGCATTATAAAAGAACTAGAATTAAGCTGGTGTAAACAACTTTTTTTTTAGTAAATTAGTATAAGAGTGAAATCAGTACTTTGACCACCGTGAACTGTCTGAAATGAACTACATGTTTTCTTGAATTAAAAGCAGGACTCTGATTGGCCAGTTTCTTTTTGCAGTCTGAAAAAATCTGTTCTCATATGTTATTAGGTTCTGCTTTTAGACCAAGAGTTTGTTTTCATACCTGACAGTTTCGACTGCTCACTAACGCTCTTCCTCAGAGTGGTCACATGATGTTGCTGTGATGTGTCCGCTCAGCTGATTTAAACAGGTTTTGGCGCTGTCTTTCAACCGGTGGAGGCAGGATGACAGCGGCATCTGCAGTCCCACTTCCTCAGGACAGTATTCTGGGTGTGTGAGAGTAAAATAGCCCCCTCATCCCGGTTTATCGTCCCGTGGGCACGTTATCTTATTTTGATTGTCTCTTTAATCCAGCGACGGTGTTTGTTTTCTTCTGTACCAATGATGTTTGCTCCATCCCAGTCCATAATGTGGTTCTCTCTTTTTTTTATTTATTCAGTATTTTACCAGGTAAGTCAGTTGAGAACACCTTCTCATTTACAATGACGACCTTTTACAGTGGTCAGAGATGGTCGATTTGGGTTGTTCCCGTTTTGCTTTGTTTTGTTGCTTCTATGCACGATGATATTTTCTGATTGCCCTATGCTGTTTCTCCGTTATGCTCCTGATGTACAGTAATGTTACCATGCATGTGAACTTTTTTTCCCAATTTTATTTTTGTTTTTCTGGTTCTGATTTCTTTCTCTCTAACCTGTTGTTTTCCTTTGTTTATTGCCCATTATATAGTCAGATTGCTGACCGGACATGTCACAGCAACATCACGTGACCACTCTGAGGAAGAGCACTAGTGAGCAGTCAAAACTGTCAGGTATGAAAGCAAACTCTTGGTCTGAAAAAAGAACTTAATAACATAAAATATCGGAAGACCAAATGGCACACACCAAAAACTGAATGCGTGTGGATATTAAAACATGCTAAAAGGTTTGTCAGAGCTAGAAACTAGTTAAGAATTTTAAATACCTCTTTCGTCAGTATGAAAATCAGATAACCAAGATTTTCAATCTAAGCATCTATCTAGCCTGGCCACAGAGTTCATAAGATTTTTACATTAAAGGAATAGAGGTTCATTTTACCTGTTGTGCTTATGGCTCCATCCTGATTAGTAGCCAAACCCAGAGTCGTCCTACACTCTTCCAGAAGTCCGCGCAGGTCTTCCTCCTGCGTGTCCCCGGCTTCTGTAACCTGCTGCGGAGACTGGCTCACCCCACTGTCCTCCTCTTTCCAGGCCTTATCCGGAGAGACCCTAGCCGTTGGAGATGAGGGGATCTTGGAGGGTCCATGATCCCCACCGTCCTCCTGTGGGACTGCAGTTTTTGGGGTAGAAGTCTGTTGAGTGCCATTTCTACTTGAAGTGATTTGTCCCTTGGTTCCTGCATTACTTCCTGACTTGCGGTGAAATGCATTTGAGGTATTGTATTGAACAGGAGAGTGAGGCTTCCGTTCAGGTGGTGGTGGAGGAGGAGAGCTGGCAGGAGATGAGAGGGCTGCTGAGTGGGTCTTTTTCCCGCTGGGTGTGTGGAAAAGTGGAGTCAATGGAGATGAAAGTGGACTAGCGGAGGTCGGTGAAGAAGAAGGAGCACTGGATTTCAGAGACGGGCCTTCTCCTTGAGGTGAACCCGGAGGAGTATGGAAGCTGTCAGTGTGAGGGCCTGGTGTGAAGAAAAAACAAGTTAGGATATACCCAGACAAGATAATGAAATTACGCAGTGGAATTAGAGGAACTGGGATTGAAAAATTGTTATTACAGTAGTGATCACCAGATGCTGACAGACAGAATTTAATAATAAGACTAATATAGAATTGATCTGATTTCAATTATGCTATTTTCTGTTTCATTCACACATATTTATCACACAAACCCTGCATATTTAGGCTGAATTCTTCTCTCAAACGAAAAATAGTTGATTCCACCTTGTGTTGTTATGTAGCAATACAGGAAATGCTCCACTTTGTTTTTAAACTTTATTCACTTTTACTAGAATCCTTTGGATGATTTTAGATCTGGAATTGCCAATCTCTACTAGGGCTGGGTATCATTATGAAGCTGCCACGATACGATACATATTTCGATATAGTGAGCTTAGGATTCGATTAAATACGGTATATTTCAAATCGGTTTGATACGGTTCAATAAAAAATAAAGGCTAATTCATGGCTGTGGTACTAAAAGTGTCTTTGTTAAACCATTTCTTGTGCAAAGTAAATATGAAAATGTCAAATGTGTTGCAGGAACAAGTTTCCTTCCTTTTATCACACAACAAAACTGTAGCGCTGTAACAAAATAAATGAATAAAATATACAAAAAATACTGTTGGTGATATATCAATACAGCAGCCCATGATATCGATATTGTATCATCGCATTAAAGAATAGGATATATATCGATATTTCAATATTTTTGCACACCCCTAATCTCTACTGAACTAAAAGTAAAAAGTGTCTGCTAACTTAAAAACTAGCATTTCATGACATCACAAGGTGGAACAGATTGAGCTTTGTAGATGTAGTTAGACTAATAATAAAGAGTAACTCAAACTTTAATGAAACAAAACACGATTCCAGGTCTGTTTTTGACGAGATAACAATGTTGTGACATGGCTTAAAGCTCACATGAGTCAATTTTGCGCAATAAGGGACGTTTAAAAGATCTTTCACGCCTCCTCCATTTACTATCCCTATGTAATATTTCTGATCTCCATGAAGCAGTTACGATTAATGCCATACTGTGGAACATTCCAGACAAAGCTAAACCTATCACCATGGAGACAAGCATGGAGACCCCAACTGGCAACTTAATCAAGAGTTAGATCTGCAGAGAGAAGCTGCTCACCATAAGAATGCATGTTTTTCAAGTTATTTAATTTAGCAACATTAATACCGGTCATTGCAAATAAGATAAATTTAATGCCACTGTAGGGAACATTTCAGACAAAGCCACATCATCTCCATGGAAGTTATATAATGCACGTTTAAAATTTTGTCAACAGAACCTAGGGCAACATTGTTATTTTCAGCCATTTTTTTACCAGCTTTTTTGTTTTTCTAATGTGGTTTTTAACTATAAATGGCAAATAAACTAACCTAATAACCATTTTGCGTCCGTTCAAATTGAGGACCACATAAACTAAGAACAATTGATTTGCTTAGCTGGGAGATTTTCCAACAATAGCCCTCAAGTATTTCCCCAAACATAACTATTTTCTCTTTCTTTTCTCTCTCAGCATTGTTGCTTGTTGCAGCCTGTGAACAATAACTCATGCTCCATTACTTGCTTCTCCTTCTCTTCTCTTCCTTTACTTTCATTTTTACCTTATTTGGGCAAAGTCTTTTATTTGTGTTGTAAGAAAACGAGTCGAAGTCAGATCACAATAAAACTATGACACAACTTTCTTAATGCGTCTGGGTCATTCTAGCATTTTATTTCATTCTGATCCAATGTGCTTGCTCAAGTTTAAAGTGAATGGGGGACAGCAAAGTGACAAATGACCAAGCAATGTGTGTGGGCATTTCCAACATTTGCAAGTGTGTGTGTCAGTCAGTATTAAAATTCCTATGAGTAAATCCTGTGCCCTTGTGTGGAGCTGGAGAATTGTGCGCAGTCATCACAGCTGGTCCAGACAGAACAAGAACCAATCAGATGTGGACCAGAGAATGACCACAGTGAGAGGCAGGAGGGCAGCCAAGACACACAGGGACTTCCTCATTCTTACACAAATCATTAATCGATTTTCTTTGTTGTGCAATTACGTGGTATAAGCTATTCAATAAAAGCCAAATAATAAAGCCTAATACTGTTGAATATAAACAGGCACTCTCTCAAGGTAAAGTAGACCCCTTTAGGCAATGTCAACTAAATGAAAAAATATGTTCACTTGATTATACATACCTGTGGGTCCATGGTTTCCATCTTTGGAGGAAAGGTTGCCCATTCTGTAGATGTGAAGGGACTACAGCAGTAAAGCTCCCAGCAGGTGCTGGTTCTTCTTCCCGGGCCAAAGTAGACTGTTCCGTAGAGATGCCCTGCACACAGCCATAGCCAGGAACGATGACTAATCTACAGTGTCTTCACTAACTCAGTGACACAAAAATATCTTTCACAACGACTGCTTATTCAAGCAGCGCCATAAACGAGGGTGTGTGTAAAGGCGCGGGACGCTACACTTTGAGCACATGTGCAAACAAAAGCTCTGTGCTGATCTGGGTTCAGAATCACGCAAAACAATGCGAGATGTTCTTGATAAGAAGTAACATCAAACAGCTCCACCGACGTTTCACCGATAACGGAACAGTGTAGCCAGTGATAGGCTAAATCAATCATTGGCTTCAAAAGCCCAAATAAACTTTGATACAATTCGCACAGGCATCACGCGCCTCATTCCACAGGTAGCCCTGCATCGTGGACTAAGCTTTAATGTAGACAGAAACATAACAACTTTCATAACTTGAAATCTTAAAGCAAACCTCCACTCTTGTGGTCCACTCAGGTCCACTTCACAGCTCCAGCCTGTCTGCCTGGAGTCCTCTGGTGTCCCGCGTTCAGCCTCCGCACTGCCGCCGCTGTGTTCCTCCGCTGCTTCTGGGAAACTCACTTTTATGCATTTCCCAAATCAGGCGCAACTAAAAGAAACTTTATGTGCTCTTTAAATTCTTATCTGTTAAAATATGTTCGAAAATAATCCCAACTTCTGAGAGCAAAACAACGCACACGATGACCATCAGCGCCAGAGGAGATCCACTCTGATGTGTCCACTGGAGGGCAGAGTCTGCCTGCAGTCACGCGCGCTACCACTGGGGGGCGTCCTACTCAGTACAGTCAATACACTCACAGTGACAACAGTGGTACTGATGGTGCACTTTAAAGATAATGTCATGATGATCAAAGGCTTAACTTTAAAACATAAACTGTGAAAGTTGTTGTAATGTGTTAAATACTACTATAACATTTCTGATAGCAGTGCTGGCTACTCGCGTCCATGGAGATGTAGCCTATTTCTTTTGCCTGGAATGTTGCACAGTATGGCATTAAAGTTATTTATAGAGTTTAGCGATAGAACTGTCTCCGAGAAGACAACTAGGCAATACCAACAGGTCACAGGTCAGATTATTTTTTTTTTTAAGCAAAGAAGACACTGATAACTGAATAAATGTAACATGAATTACATAGTGCTTCTTCAATGCTTGTTTCATTAGGATGCAAAATCAAAATAAATGTGAAATATCAAAATTACAGGAACTAAAATATTTTACAAAACACTGCATGCAAGCTATCTTTATAACTGATGTTCTACAAAAATATATATATATATATATATATTCTTGCCTGACTGCTGGTGCACTCAGAGTGAGTCAGGGGTGGTCTGGAGCTAAGTGAGTATGGATTACAAGTTCTGGCTGACCTCAAAGTCACTCAACTTTCTCACGACCTTGGTTTAATCTGGCTATGTAACAAAAGGGTAGTTCCAATACCCCCTCCTAAGCAAAGTCTCATCATCTCTCATTAGACCATTTTCTCATATTTACTGCATTAAAATGTAACAGAATATGCCTGTGAATGGCTGCAAAGCAATTGTTGACATTTTTATCACACATTCTCAGCTGAGCATCTCATCAAGCTAATGCCATAACTTCAGATTCCCAGTTGTAGCAGCAGCACAGTGACCATGAGTGAGGTATAATGGTGAAGGAAAACTTCAGAATCAAAAGAGGCCTGCTTTATACCCTTCCTCTTTAATAACAGCTTAGTTGAGTGAGTGTGCCAAGAATTTTCCACCCAAGTTAATCTGCTATGAAGGCCTAAACTTAATTCAAGGGGATAATCACTCTTTGCTTACATACCACATCATTCATATGAAAAGATATGGGCCAAATGGGAATACTATCTGTTAACTAATACTGGTTTATTTATTTATTATTGCCACCTTGGAACAATAAGATTCATATGGGAATTATGCCGAAATGATAGCAGTTCAAATTTATTGTTTAGAACTAAGTGAGAAGTTTGAGGGATGATTGGAAAATTGACTCTAGTGAATTTTAAGCCATTTTATAATGCTGTTTCCTCATCAAAAACATACCTGAAGTTGTGTTTTGTTTCATGCACACGTTTGAGTAATCTTGTATTATTAGTCTGTCTACATCTCTAAAGCTCAGAATCCTCTGTTCCACCTGGTGATGTCATGGAGAGGTAATTTTCACATTCACAGCTACTTTTTACCTGTTGTGTAGTAGAGATTGATAATTCCAGGGCTGAAATTATCCCAATGATTCTAGTGAAGATGTATGGAGTTTAAAATACAGTGCAGTATGTCCTGTATTACCACATGACATCACACGGTGGAACGGAAAGGTTTTAGTTTGAAAGACAAACTCATCCTAAATATTCAGGGCCTATGTTTTAAACTCCAGGTATGTTTCTAATGAGGAACTATTATAACACAGATTAAAAAAACAGCACTATATGGGCCTTTTAGGGACACAGTAGTACAACGGTACACACTGGCCTGAGCTGGGACTGCAGCGCTAACCTTTGGATTAGTGCTGAACACTTCACCTGTGAGATGTGATAATGGTGTGACTATAAGATTAATACTTACTGAGACAATCTGTACCTTAGTTAAGTACGCTGTGACATTTCTCAGGAGGATCAAATGCAATAACAAAGTGATTCACTTTCATCTCATAGTCAAACATTAAACCGAATAGTTTATGTTGTATAGGCAAATAGCCAGCTGTAAAATGCTCTATTGATAAACCATGCTGAAGAAAACACTTTTGTCAATTACATGGAGCAATATTAAGCAACTTTGTTCCTTTCTGGCGTCATCTATTCATTAACCGCTACCCACTCATGTACTTAATGCTGTTGGTTTCACTGTTACACTTTTCTCTCTGACTTTTTTATAGATGGCACCTGCATCTCCTCTGTAAAAATCAATTGAAGTCATGAAAAGGAATGGACGACCGGAGCACTTACACATGGCAGAGAGCCCGAACAGAAATAGGGGGGGTGATAGAAGTTTGAGTTGCCAACCATCTGTGCAATGTTCAGGGGGCTTCTGCCAAACGCCTGTCCCTCTTTGTGCCAGCCTTCAAAGAGAGCCACAATGTCTCCAAATGAAACATGCTTGTTCATTTACACCATATTCAGTGAAGATCATTACATCATTCAACTATTCATCCACGCAGCAGTGCCCATTACCAACTATTTTAATTAACACGGCATGAGTTACAAGAGCATTAGATCACTACATAGAACAGTACATTTTATTACATGCAGGTTGAGTTCTAAACAAAACACATAGCACACTGACAGAGAGCACATGGGCCACATCGTACGATGGGCCGGCATAGCTACAATCTTAAATGTGCTAGACTTCTTTGTTACTGGAGCTCAACTATTATGTTAGCAGACCTACAGTAAGCATTTTAATTGTGAATGAAATTATTAAACTGCAAATGTATCACTGAAAATACAATACATAAAATTTATTAACTTCTATTGTATAGCAAAGGAGAAATTCAATTCTGTCAACTAGGAAAAAGTTTTTTGATCGAAGTTCATCAAAGCCGCTTCTTCAGTTCTGGTTAGACGCTGGAGGACACTGACTTTTATCTGCCTGATGGGACGAGGTAATTACACTGAAACTACTCTGAAACTGTTAAACTGTTCTGATAAACAGAAACTGAGCTGCTAAACGTATTTGATCAAGTTTGATCAAGTCCAGCTGACAGAACTGAATTTCTTCTTTGCTATGGATCGTACCTGGATGACTGAAGGATAACACAAGAAACTTCTATTGTAAATAATATGTGCTCTGCTCGTTCCCAAAACCTAGAGCAAAGTCTAAAGTGCTGTGCCTTTTAAAACAAAAGTGTCACAAAACATTACAGATTAAATCTACTAGGTCTACATTTTCTCTACGTGTTACTTTTGATAGTATAAGTAATTGTTATAAATAATTGTGATTTTAATTATGAGTCAATTAACTGATCATGATTTTTACCATAATGGAGCAGCCCTTGTCTAAAATTTGTTTTATTTAGTTATTTCATAGAGACTTTTTGAGCCACAAAGGCTGATCTCTTTGTAGACTCCAGTCTGGTGGGGACATCCAGAGGCGTGAGCGGTTAAGCAGCTGAGGGCACCCAGACGTCAGTGCGCGAGCCGGCCCATCTCAGCACACGGGACGAGGGCCGGTGGTTCATGGTCAACTGCCTGGAGCTATAGCCACAAAGCCCTACGCCCACAGTCCCCATGAGCATGGCCATCGCCGCTGGGACAGACCTCTGAACTGGACATGACACTGCCACATTTTGGTATGTCTGGGTCTGGAAGAGAATGACAATGTTAGAAGTCAACATTTCTGTGGCAAGTTATACAGCATTCAGAAGTTAAAGCTGGTATACCTGATTTTCAAATAGTGACAAGAGAAAGTATGTATTTAAATCAGCTCTCATCCCAAGGTGTCAAATGGCTCTTTCTGACAAGTTTTCAATATTACTCTTATTGAATAATGACAGTGTGTGCGGTCTGATTTTTGTCACAGTTGTAGTTTTACAAAGCACTTCCTAGGGAGGAAAACAGAATAAACCACTTCATGTGAAAAAGTTGAGTACTTTAGCTTTAAGTTTTAAAGTAACTGTATTTTTGGTAGGTTTAAAAAGGGTGTTCAGCATTTAATCAAGCCTAGTCTTCACACTATGACCAAATGCAGTCATGTGTCGAAATGCAAGATGCCCTCCGCAGACCCATGCCGAGCTGCCACCAAACCTCAGGAGATTAAAAACTCATTTCCCCTCATTTACCAAATGGTGAGGCATCTTTTCTGTCGAATAAAAACCTCATCTGCTTTGTGATATGGGCCATTTCCTCAGTGAGCCCTTGACAATAATGCAGACCAAAGATGCGCAAATAATAGAAACATCATACTTTCTAATGGGGCTGTGTTGCAGTTAAACGGCCCATTCCCATCGCTCACTCATCCACTTCTCATTTCCATTTACTATGCAATGTACTGTCACCGGCTTCGATTTACCCATTGTTTGTGAAAAACACTGACAAAACGGTGATTGTGCTTTATGAGCTCAAACTAAAAGCACCCTGCAATTACCAAAGCTGCAGTCTCATATTTGCAGCGGAGGAGTGCACAATACGGTCCTTTCCGAACATTTCATCATTCTGTCCAATATAATTCTGAAGGGAAACATAAAGATTTATTGCTTCTGCCTTAAACCTGTTCAGTCAGAAAAGTAACAGCTCTAAAATATTTAAAGTAAACTATCTTTTATGGAGCCATGATGCGAATGTAATGCCAGTGGCAACCTAAAAAAAACATGTTATTTATAAACTTTTGATTAATTTTAGTTGAACAGGTTTGTATAAGACACGATTAACAGCTGTATTTTTGGTTATGTAAATCCTACACTAAATGATTACATTACTGACCTGTAGTAGTCTGATGTAACCTGGAGTGAGTCGTGGAAGTGTGAAGAACATGCTGCGATGGTTTCAGGACACGAGTGCTCCTCTTCCTGGACTCCCAGGGCAGGAAACCCACTGGAGAGGGACTGTCCCAGTGAGATCCTTAGCCTGAGTTTCACAGTGTGATCCAGGACACAGTGCTCAACCTTATAACGGCTGCATTTGTCTTTACATAAGCCTGACTGCAGGTGGTGTCTAAGGGGATTAAGGCAAATGGCACTGGAGGTTATCCTAAAAACAGCAGGACTGGAAACATAATTGTACACGTTTGTTTGAAACTAAGAAAGTATGAAGCAGTCTATTTAGAAAACTTGTCTGAAGTTTATTTGCTTCACCTTTTTCTGCTGATAAAGAAAAAGATCTGTTTTACTTGTCAGCAGATTTTTCAAGGTTTCACTATCTTTGCTCATTCGTGTGTCCCCACCTCAAAGTTGATATATCACGGATGCTGCTACTAAATACAATTTATCTCCAGAGAGGGCAGCCTCCATGACCTTTTTCATTTCAAGAATCCAATTTGAGTATAACATATTGCATAAATCTATTTTATCATAATATTACTGTTATTAAAAGTGGACAATATAAAGTACATAGCACACTGTGTAATTCTAATACTTCTTGTCTAAAGCCTGACCACAGGGAAGTCACCCTTCCAGTTCAGATAATTCCCTGGCCTATTCCTGAACTCCATTCCTTGGCATCACCTATGTGTAAATGAGTGAGAATAGATCCACTGAGCTGCAAGAGCAGGACAGCAACACCCTGGGTGGTGCTAAAATCCATGGCTAAACATAATCATTATAGGTTTACCTCAAACATCAAGTTCATCCATGTTTATGTAAAAAGTGAAAATAGGACACTTTTTAATTCATGTTTTTCACACAGTTCTTTTGATTCAGAGTTTTCTTGATTCAGAGTCTCTTGAACATACATCTTTTTAGTTAGTAGAAGATAGATAATGATATGCCATCATCCAGTGTGGGTTAATGAGAAGAGGCCAGTTTAATCTGAAAGACAAAATGCCAAAAAAATATGGTGAATATATAATACATAATGTCTAAATTTCTAAAATGTGTAGAATCACAAAGCTTGGTTAAAATGAAGCCACACTAATATTAACAATAACACACAAAAACACAAGTAAAACTAGATGAAGCAGTAGTGAAAAAATGAAGATGCAGATATTTGACAGTTTGACAGACAGTTTTGGAGAAGTGAGTTTGGGGCTTTTTTTGAAGATGGTGAGCCTCTTATATGTTTGGGAAGGAAGTTCCCGAGGGTGGGAAACAAAGTAGTTGAGGTATAGAATATGACGAATATGAAACTTGGTAAACAGATGGCGAACCGGTGAATAAAAAGCACCAGAATCCTCACAACTTTATCTTAATCACCTGAACAGAAATAAACTAAACTTAAATTCTACTTTTTTTTAAAAAACAGTGTCAAAAGGCTGAAAAAGCTTCCAAGACACCAGCCAGTGAAATTCAGTATTGTAGGGCAGGTTTTAACTTGGGAATTGAAGCTTTTACTCTGGTTGTCCAGGTGACAGGGACACACAGCGCTGAGCAACAGTTGGTGCCCATTCATAAATATGGCAGTGGCGAGCATTCACCAGCTCCTTGTTTGAGTGCATGTGAAAGCCAGCAAAGTCCCAAGTGATCCTATTATGCAGCTACCCACACCACTGCACCAAAACAAAGACGGTGGTAGAATGTGTCCAGGGAATCAGATGTTTAGGTTTGAGTAAGCGGAAGGCAGAATAAACAAACTCCAACACGTCAGTTCAGACAAAGGGTCACAAGTAGGTCACAGGACTGTGCATAAAGGGCAAGTTCTTACAAGCGTTGGCGGATAATGACAAGTATAAACAGGTGAATAACCAAGATCAACAGTATCCACATACAGTTAGGCAAGCATGGGCAATCAGGGGCAAGTATTAACATGACAGGGCAGGTCAATTGGGCCTCAGGCAGATCCCAACAAGGAAAGAGCAACACAAAGGGCATCCGCTTAAGACTTACCAGCAGGCAGGGTGAGGCTGGTCAAAAAGTCCTCAGGTGCTTGTGCCAGTCCACTTGGGTCTTTGAAATAAATTCCTGTTCTAAGTACATGGGGTGGTTTCAGGACAGAGGTCTACTTTCCAGAGAAGAGATCGCTGAGCCATAAAAAGCTGCACTGAACAAAAAAAAAGAGCAGTTACTACATTTTTTCCCATATAATTAAGTTAACCAAGTGAATTAATCCATTTTGTGTAATACTTCTATTCTTTACACGGAACAGTTCCATCCTCCAGATCTTGGTCACTGTCAGGATTATCCAAGCTAAAGGATGGGCCTACGTGTCTAAATGTTGTCTAACATCACACCACTGAATTTCTTATGAAAAAAACTAACTCACAAAACAAGCACCCAATTTAGACAAATACTGTGTATTAGTGATAAAAAAAACATTAAATAATTACATTTCACCATGTGCTAGCATGAAATAATTAAATAACATTTTCTGTAAATACTTTTACTGCAGTATTTGATGGGCTTATTTGAACATACAGAGCAGTCATGGGGGTAGCAAAGTTCTACACCTGCCTTCTCTTATGGAGTTCCTCTGCAGTCCTGTCCAGGTTGGTTCACTTGGCTGCTCCCCTCCTCCCTGTCCTCCTCACCCTCCTCCGGCCTCTGTCCCTCTCTCTGGTATGTGAACTCCACGGCAGCAGCTCGTGGCACCAGACCCATGGAGAGCAGCTTTTCCTTGTGTCTTTTCTTCTTCAGCTTCCTCTTTTTATTTTTATTCATTCGCTCCTCTCCCTCGTTCACAGCTGTTTGGTTCAGGGGAGGCATATGATCTTTCCGCTTCTTTCGCCTTCTTCTCCTCTTTTTCTCCTCAGGATCCTTTCCCTGGTCTGTCTCATTGCTGCTTTCATCTTCACTCTTTTCTGTAACGTATTTGTCACATCTGAATAAAGTACATTTAAATAACCTTTGTATTAACAAATCTTTGTATTAACAAATCACACAAGCACATTTAAGATTGATCAAAACAATTTTGTAGTACCCAAAGTTACTTTGAATCATAAACAAAAAGCCACCCAGGCAATAAAATACAGACAGGCCAATATACCTTTCGTGGCTTTATGGTGTGTAGCAAGTTCATAAATAAAACAGTCTACTCACCAGCTGGGTCTTCAGTATTCTTTAGGGTTTCAGGCGCAGAGTGTGTGACAGATTTCTCTGCATCTGTCTTGTAGTCTGCTGGAGGAGGTAGGACTGTATATAAGCGCTTGGCAGGAGTGCTAGTGCTTCCTAAATTGGTGAAAGAAACCAAGAAAGAATTAGACGGCTAGATTACATGTAGGCTATTTGATCCATTTATACTTTACCTGCACTAGAATTTCCTGGAGGGATTTTTTTGACTGTAGGTTTCTTGGACAAAACATTTGTATGGAGTGGTGCACTGCTGGAGTCCCTCTGTTGAGCAGGTGCAGCGGGATAGAGCTTCTGGAGAACTTTAGCTTGAAATACTGCGAATACGAGGAATAGTGTTTTGTTTTTTTTTATCTTAAGAAAACAGCGTTCATACGTCATTCTTATAATTGGCATAAGACTAAATTGATATTCAGTGAGTAGAATGAAAAGTTTTTAACTAAATAATTCAAATGTAGATGTAATGTGTTTATTAAATTCGGAATTAATAAAGTTTTAATCCATTTATTTTTGCGGTACAACAACAGCTTACAGTTTACTAGTGATCTTGACAGATGAGCACACGCTTTTGTTTACAATCATTCAACAGCAAGAGGTGAAAGGTAAAATAGCCTGATTTAAGCTAGAATCAGTACATCACAAAACCTTAAGCTGCACTCACCTTCTTTCCTTAGTGCCATTGAGAGAAGTTACAGACACACAGAAAAAGTGATGGAGACGCATGGGCATGTGAAAGCAGACCAAACTAGCAAATGGCTAACAACAACTAGCGCCAAAACAATCGGTAGAAAAATTTAAATACTCCCGATAACATTGACAAGGGGCATACGGCATAGGCAAAAAAAGTGTATAAGAGGCAAAATAAAAGCACGCGGGTCATTTTGCCACCGAATATCCACTAACTCCATTCACAGACTAGACCGGAAGTTCCAACCACGTGGTTTCCGTTTTACACTATAAACAAGCATGTACACGTTTTTTATTAAGCATTTATTTTGTCGGTGTTCATCTTGCATGTGCACAAATACGTATTTTTACACGGGCAGGTAGTTGTAACAAATATAATAAACAATAATAAACAACGATAATGTTTAATCCCACATTTCGTTCAACATAAATGCAATGCCAAATGCAACTCGTGAACTTTTTTTTTAATCGTGGTTTTGGTTTTGAACTTTGAGTTGCACTTGTCTCGTCTTTAAGATTACGCTGCTTTTTCCATCCACAGATACTTTGATGTTGTGTACCTGTGGATGACTCGAGCTCCTCATCTCTCTGAAATGACATCAGTTTGGGGCGTGCGCACATGCAGGCAGTCCACGGTGCTGTGGAAGAGAGTGGAGTGGAAGCGAGATGAGAATATTAAACAGCCGCCTCATGGCTCAGCATCAGCACCGGGCTGAGTTAGGATCTCTGCACCCTCCAAACTTGGCTCGGGACCTCAGAATGTGAACAGGCGCCGCAGGAGGAGGATCCAACTAGAATGTCAGCTCTGAAAAAGGTAAATGTGCCCTCATTTGCAATTTTGCTCAGATGAACTTATAACTCGCATCATGTGTTTTTAAAAGTGCAATGTAAAGTGTTTTGCGTAAGGTTGTGGAGTGTAGCCATGGGATTTCTCTTGCATCCTATCATTCATTGTATCCAAGACAGTTTAGAGAAAATACAGCCTATATTTACTCTTTTGTGAATGCAGGATTTCACAATTCTACATCCAGTTTCTGGGGGTGGATTGGCTTTGCTGATTTTGACTGCCTGTGTCCAAGTCCAAGGCTGGCAGTTGTCAATGAGAGTGGCGCTCCATGTTGCTGAATAAGAAGGCATTTGTAGCAATTGTGATCTTTGTCAGAAAAAGGAAGTTGTTAAATTCATGCAGTTAGAACATTACCTTGAAAATCTTTATTAGAAGTTGGAGTAGCCTATTGGTTGGGCAGTAAGATCAAATAAGTTGATCTTGATTTAACTGAGAATTAGCAATGCATATTTGCTGGCTTGTCATACAGTGTACTAGATTAGAAAGGGTTAATAACCACCTACTCATGCAAAAAATATTCTTCTCCCCACGTGCACTACGCTGTGTTGTTTAAGATTCAGCGGCAATAAGAAACCATTGATGTCTCAGCTCGAATAGATTTGTAAGAATTGAGCGAGACAATAAGAAGTGAACTTGTATTGAAAGCGGGTTTCTGCACTGCTCCTGCACTGCCTCCACTGCTGCTGAATCAAGGGCGCATACACACAGTACACAATATGAGTGACAAAGCACTGGCTGCTGTGCGCTCAAATAGTCAGACATCATAATCACAGAGGTGCTAAAAATAGTCAGCCATATTCATTGCAATTCTTTGGAGGCTAAATTGCTGTTCACCCGCTGGGCTCCTGCATTTATCAAGGTGTGTTCAGTGTTAGAAAGACTTGTATCTTGAGTCTTATCTCATCTTAAGTGAGGAGACATTTGTCCATTTTTGGTTTATCTAAGAAAATGCATGGGAATAGCATTTTTATGGTGTTCTTAGGGAGTATAATTTCAGTGTTGGTGATTGACCATTTCTTAGTCCTTTTTCTTGGTTAAGGTTAAATGTGCATTGTATAACTTTTCTGGTGGAGGGTACGTCAAATGCTTTTCTCTGTGGAGATTGTTGCTTTGTCTGGAATATTTGACAGTATGGTATGAAACTATCTTCTATCTTCATGGAGACCAAACCAGACCAAGTTACAGGTCACATCTGTGGAGAGGCGACCCCGCTCACACTCAGAATGCCTTTTTTTCTAGGTATTATTGAGCTATAAAACCACCTGTAATTTAAGAACATAAGGTAAAATGTTTAATGTTACATGTTACATAGTACACCTTTAATGTTATATTATGTGTTCAGTGGTTGTCATTGTTTCCCTGACCTGGATCAGATGTAGATCTTATGTTAATTAAGTTTTTGGCCTTGATTTAGTCTTGTGCTTTTGTAGACAGTCAAACTTGCCTGTCATTCTGTGCCTATGGTCTCTGCAACTACTAATGTTTTTACAGTGAAGCCAACACATTACAAATTACAAATAGTTAACAAACAGTTAATGACACTACTGAAGGAATTATTGCCAAAATCACTGAATGTTTGGTTAGTGGGTGAATTTGTATTTGTCACTTACAGATCTGAAAACCAATATGGCTTGAGAACATGTGTCCTAGATAAATGTTAGACTACAGCACTAAGCATGGAGCTCAAGTAATTATGTGTGTGGTAGTCATAAGAATCTTAGTTTAAGTGAATCTGTCACCCTGTGCATCTGTATCTTAGTTTTTATTTATAATTAATATGAAAGGTGTAGGTGGATACCTGTCAGGCCAGAGCAGTCATCATGCCACATTCACAACATGACAAGAAAATACATGATGTATCACTACAGTCCTAAAGGGTTGTACTGAATATTGTTATTATCTAAAACCTGAGAGAGTAATCAAAGTGTGGCAGTTGATGCTAAATGGAATATAAGCTCCTGGACTCACCAATTACTAGAAGTGCACAAAATTAAACCTTCCAGTGTAGAGAAGAAAGAACTTACATCCAATCTACATGAATAGTAGTAAATTAAATTGTGATTTACCTCCAAGAAAACCAGGTATATTTGGTTGTCCTTTGTTTAACGAGTCTTTAACTCGAACATCAGCTTTTCAATATAAGAATAAACTTTTCTAATTTAGTCTCACGGGTTTTGTGCTTATTCATTTTACTGCTTTCTAAGTTCTGAGTAATTGCTGTGGGATTTAGGTTAGAAATATAATAACCTTAATTCTGCAGATTTGTGTTGTTGTCTTTTCTTTTTACAAAACCTGTTGACATAATTGTTCCATGTGTGAGTCAGAGGCAGACAAACAGATGTATTTACGATGGCAGATGAGGGAGGATGGTTTCATAGGGACCGATCTGAAGCTCAGCTCTGTGCTTTAGTGACAGCTCTGTCCCTTTTTCACACTCCTTCAGCACAGCTCTGCCAGCCCTGTTCACATCAATTATAAGTGTACATCATGCAGCTGCTTGAGCCATTACAAAGCAATTACCACGTCTCCTATCATCGGGCTGTTATCTTTTAGACCAAAACCTCAGGAGCCAGCTTGATTGAAAAGTGAATACATTTTTGGAACAGTAACGGCACACCAGCCAAGACTTTTGATGTAAATAACTCTGCATGTAAAATGAATATACACTTTCTTCATTGCTCTACTGTAGTACTCAAAAAATTATGATATTGTAAAAGTTTATAGCCCTGACATTGTACTGGCTATGTGGGTCATGACATCTGCAAACGGCAGGTCTTGTTCAGTGTTCCTGGAGTGGTTTGGATCAAAAGTGACTCATAGAAGGAACAGGGGCATGTGGGCAATGCCAGCTGGTCTCTTGTGGCCCTAATAAACAGACTATTTCAACCATGAAAATCAAAATGTGTACATCAGTTTACTCCTCAAAAAGCCTCCCTGCTTAAGAACCGTTGGCAAACATTTTTAAGAGTCCCTTCCCTAATTATGAGGATCTACTTTTCTTGTATTTTATTTACTTTGTTATAGTTTGTAGTAACTATTTAAGTCAAAAACTTTATTACTGATCCTGTCCTCTCTCAAATATAAGTTAGAAATTTCATGTGTGAGTGCAATGAAAAGGTTTGGACTGCTTAAATAAAAAAAATAAATATAAAAGCAATTCTAATTTCCCCTACAACATAAAAACAACTTTAACAACTATTGATGACAGAAAAATACTAGCCACTATGACGTATATCTTTGGATCAATTTCTTCTTTTCTCAAACTCCTAATAGAATAGATTGTAAGGCATGCATTATTGATCAGAAGGACCACCTCGGGCTGTGAGCAGTGCAATAATTGGCTGTTGTACTTGCTGTTACAACTTGCTGGCTCTGTAAAGCTGCTGATGGAGCACAGGAGAGCTCTGGCCTGTTGACATGACCTCACTGCTTTGATAATAGCAGTACTATCTCATTTGGCACATTTATTTGACCTTCATATTTGAAGTAAAGGCATCATATGAGGCTTTGTGGACCATTTAATCTACCTTTTACACTATGCACTATCCTGATCGTTGTGCATAAAACACAAGTCTTTGAATGCGAATGGTATTTGAAATTAATGGTCATAACATAGCTTGGCATTTTCCAGCTGTTCATCATTGTCCTTTTCCCTACCTCGAAAAATTACAAAAGACAAGAGCAAGAAATGACTTGATAAGTGATAAGCAAGCTGTAAATCTAAATGATTTTTTTCACAAATGATCTTAGTGTTACAATATCTCAAATATGTTTCTATGTGTTTCTATCTGATCATTTCCAAGTCTGTAAGTCATGTCTCTTTCCAATATTGTTTCCGCTGTGTCTTCCATAGGTGTTGCCAAGCATACTGCAGAAGCATTGCTGTCTAATACCGGACAGGAACACAGGTAAGGACCAAAAATCTGTCTCTCCTCCACACACCAATCAAAAATCACAGCACCTTGCCAGACAGCTGCAAATGAGTAGGCGAGCTTGATGGGAGATGCTGATCGAATAAGTCACAATTTATCTGTCACACAAAAGAACTGCTTACATGAACCAGTGCATATGTAGCCATTTAATGAGTATATTACAAAGCAAATTAGGTGTGTCCTGCTATGTTGTTATGGTGACAAGCTTCTCCCGTTCACATCATTGCAGGAGTGAAGAGGTTGCTGATGAAATTGAAGAGCAGGGAGATATACTCAGGTACTACAAACTATAATAATAACATAATAACATTCCTTACAATTTGTGGTGACTCAGCTGGACTAACCTTGCAAGTGTAATCAGAGTGCATGTACATGGCCTCCACTATCACCATTTATTTTGCTAACAAAACCTCACCGACGCAGCGTAGACGTTTAATCTGCTGAGTGAGGCAAACTCACGGACATTTATTGAAAGAAAGTATTGTGGGTAATGCAAATAGTGTTTATCATAACAAGTAAGCCCTATTAATTCTAAAAGTGAGAGGTGAAGGCACTTTTATGTCTTTTTCTTTTTTGCAACTTGGATGCTTATGCTTATATCCCTGACACTTATTTTTTATTGTGCACTGATAATGTATAAAAAAATACTGTCTCAGTTCAAGGTTAGGCTATAGACATTTTGAATTAACAATTGTTGGTCTACATAGAATTGCAATGCCCCATAATGTTTGGAATTTTGTTTAGATAGTGCTGTTCCATAGTTAATAGAAAAATGAAGTGACATAACAATATATTAGTATTGGACTGGTTTTGTAAAAAGTTTCTTATTGTTTCACTTTCTCAGTCCTGGTATTGGTATTGAAGTATGCTACAACTGACTGAATCACTACAGTCTTCCTTATTTTTTCATTTTTTATGGTCAAGGATCAAGACATAATTACTTTTCTATGATGAAAAGTTATTGATGGACGGACAGGGCTTGATTTTAGAATAATTGACTTCCTGCCAGAGAAGGGGCCAAAGTAATGAGTTAGAGAGGAGTGTTTTAATATTTATCAGACTTAACGTCCCCTCGGGATGATTGTGCTGAGTAACAGAGTGTCCCTACATGAATATGGAAGGGTGCATCCATCAAACTTTGCACGAACAAGAGTTTTAAAAGTGAACTCTGTGGAGCTGAGGTGATCTTGTATGGTGCCTGATTTAAGGATGACATTGTGGTCGCTGACTTCCCCTTGTGATACCCCCTTGTGCCAAAAATGTGGCTTTTCCTATAGGTTAAATTTGCAGATGGTAGGACTACAATATTTTGGAAAAAGGTAAAAAAAAAAGCAAAAAAAAACTATATACACATATTGTGTTTTAGAAGAGCATAGCAGTCATATGAACTGCCAGACTAATGAAACTTCATTTCACAACAGTTTATAAAATGGACATTTTACATGTTGTGAAGACAGTCAGTTACACGAAATGAATACTATAGAATTAAAGTCAGCACAAGTGTTCAAATGAGATTTGCCTTTGCCTGATAAGTTTATGGTTTATACTTTTGTCAGAGTAACTTTTATGACGTGCTACAGTAAGGATATTGAACACTGTGCCCCCAACTCCTGTTTTTAATCTGCCTAGTACCTTGGCTTCCTGTTGCTATGACAACCCCACATCCACTGATGCACAGAAAGCTTTGAGTCCATTAAAGTAAGTGTTGCTTTCTTTTACTGATTGTGGTAAATGTACCTCTGTTATGTTGTTATGCTAATGCCAAGGCATAAATACCGTGGACTCGCTGGAACACTCTGGTCCATTTCTGTATGTGCAGGATGTAGAGCAGCTCTGAGGGCAGCTCTGTGACTACTACTGCCACTGTAGTAGGAGACATGTGCAAAATAAGACAGAAACATTGCAGATTGATACCTACTGCTTGCGTTGATACACATGCATTTGTATAATATGCTCTGCTGCTTCTCAGGTACACAGCGCCCTCTCCTGGACATAGGCTTACACAATAGTATATCATTGCATACTTCATGCTTTTCACAAATATTTCAATATTTTGCCCTTAAAAAGTGAATTATTACTTATCATTCATTATTCTGAAAGGACTTAAATTTTTGTGCTTAGTGAGGCTTATGAAAAGAAATTTAAAAATAGCCTATAAGTCCATAGTAACTATGATGCAGTGCAGTACAGTTTCTGAAAAAAGATTTAATTATTCACATTGTTACACCCACATTAAGCTCATATATATGTTTAAATAAATAACTATTTAGCAATTTTAGCCAGTGGAAGTAAACTCTTGTACCATGTTGCCATGGAAACAAACTAGAAAAGTCTTGGGGATAGACCACTGTCAAAAGAAGCCTTTGAGCTATAAATACCAACAAAATATACTTCTTGTCCAGTGTGTGCCTGTGTCTGCTGTCAGTGTCTATAGGGAATATGTGTTTCAGATAGTGTTGAAGTGTCCAGACTCCAGCCTGTTTACCTGACACAGCCTCTGCCCATTGTCACTGCAGTTCATCTTAATGCACTCAGCCTGCTCCTAGTCCCTAACCTACTGTCAGCATCTTAGAAGGAGAAAGAGCAGTGCTTGCTTTGCCTCTTATTAACCACTTTTGTTTAGTCATTTTTTGTTTATAATAATGGCACCATCATTTAATGAGCAGTATAAGCAAACTACAAATTACGTGAAACTTAAGGACAGAAGCTGGTGGTGTTATGTGTGGGCAGCTGCAGCCCAAGACGCTGTGCTCATGTCGGCTAAACTCTCTCTGCTGTTGTTGATAATGACTCCTGCCCTATCTCTCCCCCTCAGCCCTTCTATACTTTGTAGCATTAGTGTGCACCCTCCACACTCTCCCTCCCTCCGGCTCTCTTCAGCGTTGCCAAGGCAGACCCACTGAACTGTTACCAGAGTGGGATGCTCTGAATCCTTTTTTTCCTATAGGCCTCTGCCCTCCAATGGACTGCTGCATTGCTAGATTGATTGTAAACAAATAGGGTGAACCTGTGTCAAGTAGTATATTTTTGGATATGTTTGACTCTTTTGGGGTCATTTAGTTAATCTGACTACTTCTACAACATCTCCGAAATATTGCAATCAAATGAGAATCTAAATTTGAGGTGACGAACAAAGAACAAAACATCTTTGTATAAAAATATCCTGTTGTAGTTTATACCTCTACAAACATCTCCTGAAATCCATGGGTAACTGTGGCTGAACATCACTGTTGAAGTGGACTCTCTCTGTAACTGGTCCTTAAAAATAATAAATACAATAAAATAATGAGGCAGCCCACTATATCTTAACTCTGATTACCCCTTTCATTAAAAGGAAAGAAAGCAAAGATAATTTTAGTTTTGGCTGTGGTGTTGGTTTTAATCCCCTTTTATTTAATCTGTTTCATGTTTCACCTATCATACAGCTACAATAAGCAAACTGGAGCTACACTTGCCAATATTCAGGTGTAAAACAAATTAAAAGTCACTGACAGCCTATATCAGCTGCTTATTCCTTAATTCAGTACAGGAATCTAAGTGTATCTAAAATATAAGTCCATAATAAACCACATACAGCTGATCTGTCTTGTGGCTGGACTCTCCTACTGTAGGGATCTAGCCACATCAGAAAGTGTGTGAAGTGAATCAAATACTCATGACAGTTGTTACGCATACTAACATGTTACTTGTCTCAGATGTGTCAATAAAAATGAGACATCAGAAGGGAACAGAAGTGTTGGATGTAGCACTCAGCTCTGGTCCAGCCCTGCCTTTGCCGTCCCCTGTCTGAGAGTGTGTGAAGGTGATAGTGAGAAATGCCCACTTGTCTGCTCCACTCCAGCGCCTTCAGAGTGCACCTCATGTTTCTCCATTTGTCAGGGGTCCAATGTCAAACCAAACTTCTGTGTGCGCCCAGAGCACATTTTTCTTTTGTTTTGAAAGACAAAGTGGACTTTTGAGTCATATTATTATGTACTTGCAGCATGGTTCTTTAATTGTTTGTTTTTATAGTTTGTTTTATAGTTTATACATATGTTTATTTGGGCTGTACGGCTTCTTTGGTTAAGTGGATGAAACATTTTTCTGTGGTTTTCCTCTGGAATCTGGAAAAAAATTTCCCCAGGTTGGTCCACAGCATTTTCCAGTGTAAAAATATAATATTTCTTTTAAATCAGAACTTTTTTTAAACTGCTTTTTCAATAAGAATGAGAAAGAGCAAGTCTATATCATCCAAGGAGTGCTGCTTTCAGAAATGTACTAGAAATTACAGCTACACGTGTGTTCTGGAGGTTTGGCAGTTTTTCAGTGCTGTTGGGTGAGTTTAGTCACTGAAGACTGGCAACCCTGATTGGTCAGTACTATATCCGAACTATAGTAATGTATGTACTAAGGATGTAACAATAACCAAAATATTGTGATATCATATCGTCAAAGTTCTCACAATAATATCGTGACGAATACTATATATCGAATTACAAGTCTCTTTGTTTAAATCAAGAGTTATGGTTCTGTAATAGCCTAAAAAAGACAGAGGGAACTACATAGACCATGATCCTTTGCTCCATTTCACTGTAGACTACAAGAAGAAATAACAGGTCTAAGCACTTGTAAGTCTTAGTTCTTTGGATTAGGTTTTGTCAGGGCATTTTAAGAGGAAAAAGTAGCATATTAACAGTTTTGTTAGTCTCCACAAAATATCACAATAAATATTGTACTGTGAGATGTATATCATGAAAATTTTACCAAGAGATTTGGATATTGCTACATCCTAGTATGTCCTTGTAATGCAATTTTAACTTATCTCAGGACGACCCTGAAGTTTTTATCCATTCTCTCCTTCCATTTTATCTAGTTGATTAATTGTTTAATTGTTTAACATTCCATATAAGTTATCCTCATTTTGGTTGATTCAGAATTAGTTTCCTTTGCAAGCTTGCATTTATTTCACTAATTGCTAACTTTATTCTTTGTGTGCCACCAGTATGCCTTAGCACTGTTTAGCAAGTGTAGTTTTAATGATATTTATGTGACTGGCTCTGTCCTTTGGTATAAGAAGTGACATTATCTGTGGACTGTTTGTAGCCGATGGTCCTGAGACTCCTGTCTGGAGGAAGGAGCGCTGATGTGATTACTAAGATCACAGCCACAACAAATACGAAAACAGGAAGTCCAGTGGTCCTGGACAATTTTGTTGTGACAATAGTGATTTGTTCTAAAGGATATGTTGGGGTTCTGGAACATTGGAACTTTCAAATGACTGGAATCCCAATAGTTACT